GATTTTCCCATCTATAGATGCTCATTTACAGTGCATTTGCCAGCCAGCCATGTTTGATTACCAAAGGGTAATGGGAAGGCAACGATTCTGTGGGAATATATATATATAATGGGACGGGAAAAATAATCTTTGTAGAGTAAACAATACTTTCTGGATTATCAGTGGATCATCCCAGTTATAACATGTGATAAGTTAAAAGTGATTAGTAGCTGCAGTTACAATCCAAATCGATAAGAATTGGCTTACTGGTGAGTTACTTGAGTTGGAATCCATTTCAAACTGGTATCCTCTGGTAAACTAACATGTTGCTATGGAAAATCACCATTTTTAATGGGTAAATCCACTATAAATGACCATTTTCAATAGCTATGTTAAATTACCAGAGGGTAACCCGGGAAATAGCCACTTAGCATGATGAAGTAGTTCATTAGCCACTTTAGTGTTCAAGCAGAGGAACCGGAGCTATATGGAGGCGCACAAGCTAGTGGAAGCGTGGATGACGTGCAATCCTGAAACTTGACTATGTAAATATTAAGCAACGCCCAAGAAGATATAGAAAAGTAACATCCTGCTAAAATAGTAGTCATTTCTGATACATTATGTTTCTATCCTTTTGGTAGTGCTATAATACACAATCTAATCCCATGCAGTATATGAATGTAGATGATCTATATCGAAGCAAATGTTATATACGTCCTCAGGGGCCTGCTGCTCGACTCTCAAAGCCATCAAAGAAGGCCAAGGTGACCTGCGGCGAATATATGCAGCAAAGATCAGCAAATGGGTTTTGGTGAAACATCACTTGAAATGGCTTAAACAGTGAAAATGTGTTGTCATCAAGCCGATTTTGAGTTATGGTCATGTCCTTTCTGGAAACTAGCGCGGAAGTGGAAAAATCCAGTCATTCTCTGAATGGTTTTCATAGAAAGTCAGGGATTCTCATCTCATTTCAGAAAGTGCTGCCGGAACTTTTAAGTCTCATCGCCATTAAGAGAAAAAGCTCGTAACGGAACGTCCAACACCAGGAGATGTTATACTGGTTGGTGGTATACCTACCCCTCTGAAAAATATGAGTTCGTCAGTTGGGATGATGACATTCCCATATGGAAAATAAAAAATGTTTGAAACCACCAACCAGTATAGTTCGGATTTGGACATTTCCCATGGACATCCATGTTTTTCCCGATACCATGTAGCTAGTTAGCTAGTTCTGCCCAAAAAAACGACAACTGAATCTGCCGCTGAACTTTCCCACCTTTCCCTCCTTGGAGGAATCCATCTTGATGAGTTCGATGTCGGAGATGTTAGACATCTGTCTGGGCTTCCTGCTGGTAAAACAGTGTCCCAGGAGTTGAGCAGAGGGGAAAAAAAGAGATGCGGCTTTCTGTGAAGTAGAAAATACCCGGCCTGGTAAACTAACATTTTGCTATGGAAAATCACCATGCTATCAATGGGTAAATCCACTATTTCTATGGTCATGTTCAATAGCTATGTTAGTCATTACCAGAGGGTAGTGTGCCCAAAAATCCCATGGTTGATCATCATTTGCTTGAAATGATGTGAAAATTTGGGACCCAGGAAATCGCCTTTCAGACTTCTCGGTCAAATTCCAGACATACACCCAATGTCACCCAATGTCACCGGCAACGCAGCATGATCTTCAAGTGGGATCATCCTGATCTATGGAGCAAAACCTCTCAATGAGTACAAAATCCTCGTTTGTACCACCCAGAAAGGTTTGTACTTAGGAAATAATTTCTGAAACCCTCATTTTGGAAAATATTCTCCAAAGTCTCCAAGGTCCACTGTTGGAAAATCTTTTGGTAACATAACTTCAACCAGGGTCCAGCAAGCTCAACATTTTTTTGCTGTCCCCTAAGGTTTGAACATATATGATTCTTTTGCCAGAGTGGCTACATATGTTGAATTATGTTCAAACATTTTTTTCCTATCCTTCAACCCCCCCCCTCCTCTCTCAAATCTTTTAAAATCAACATGTTCAACATGCTCGGCTTTCAAAATCTTCCAAAACATCCAAAACTGCAATCGGCATCAATCGGCTCAAGATGCTCAAGCTCCAAAGGTTTTTTTTCTCTCAGGTTTTCATCTCTGGTTTTTGGCATTCTGTACAAACATGCGTGAGGAATTCGTTGTACGGTTTCCTCTGGCCCCACATCAATTCGAAAATAAGTGAACCACAAAACATTGATCATACAACACAATCTGGCCTACATACTTTTTGGCTTGTTTTGGCTATGGTGTTTGGTGAAATGAATTTTGTTATATGATGTTGTATGTTGTCCCACTTTCTCAAAAAAGTTTTCCTTCAATGCCGGTGCTACCAGGGTTGATTTCAATATCCATCCTCATGGAAACCCCAGGCACAGTTGGAAAAAAATTGGGACCCTGCTTTTACTTTTTGAAGCCCAGTAAAAAACGAGCATTTTAGATCAATGTTTGTAACCTGTGCTTTCCCTGGGCTATAACCAATTGAGTTTGGGAAATGTTTTCCTTCAAAAATGCACTGGGGGCACAGTCATGACCTGGCACCGCTGGGAACACAAACCATTTTAACAAGGTCAACTTGAAAGAAATAAGTGCACCACAAATACAACACAATCTGGCCTACATACTTTTTGGCTTGTTTTGGCTATGGTGTTTGGTGAAATGAATTTTGTTATATGATGTTGTATGTTGTCCCACTTTCTCAAAAAAGTTTTCCTTCAATGCCGGTGCTACCAGGGTTGATTTCAATATCCATCCTCATGGAAACCCCAGGCACAGTTGGAAAAAAATTGGGACCCTGCTTTTACTTTTTGAAGCCCAGTAAAAAACGAGCATTTTAGATCAATGTTTGTAACCTGTGCTTTCCCTGGGCTATAACCAATTGAGTTTGGGAAATGTTTTCCTTCAAAAATGCACTGGGGGCACAGTCATTTTCGTAGAGACCAAGGCATGACCTTGGCACCGATGGGAAAAAATATGAAATTCTGTGAGTTTTTTTTTAATAAAAAACATTTTAACAAGGTCAACTTGAAAGAAATAAGTGAACCACAAAACATTGATCATACAACACAATCTGGCCTACATACTTTTTGGCTTGTTTTGGCTATGGTGTTTGGTGAAATGAATTTTGTTACATGATGTTGTATGTTGTCCCACTTTCTCAAAAAAGTTTTCCTTCAATGCAGGTGCTACCAGGGTTGATTTCAATATCCATCCTCATGGAAACCCCAGGCACAGTTGGAAAAAAATTGGGACCCTGCTTTTACTTTTTGAAGCCCAGTAAAAAACGAGCATTTTAGATCAATGTTTGTAACCTGTGCTTTCCCTGGGCTATAACCAATTGAGTTTGGGAAATGTTTTCCTTCAAAAATGCACTGGGGGCACAGTCATTTTCATAGAGACCAAGGCATGACCTTGGCACCGATGGGAAAAAATTAAAATTCTGTGAGTTTTTTTTAATAAAAAACATTTTAACAAGGTCAACTTGAAAGAAATAAGTGAACCACAAACATTGATCATACAACACAATCTGGCCTACATACTTTTTGGCTTGTTTTGGCTATGGTGTTTGGTGAAATGAATTTTGTTACATGATGTTGTATGTTGTCCCACTTTCTCAAAAAAGTTTTCCTTCAATGCCGGTGCTACCAGGGTTGATTTCAATATCCATCCTCATGGAAACCCCAGGCACAGTTGGAAAAAAATTGGGACCCTGCTTTTACTTTTTGAAGCCCAGTAAAAAACGAGCATTTTAGATCAATGTTTGTAACCTGTGCTTTCCCTGGGCTATAACCAATTGAGTTTGGGAAATGTTTTCCTTCAAAAATGCACTGGGGGCACAGTCATTTTCATAGAGACCAAGGCATGACCTTGGCACCGATGGGGAAAAAATCTGAGATTCTGTGAGTTTTTTTTTTATAAAAAACATTTTAACAAGGCCAACTTGAAAGAAATAAGTGAACCACAAACATTGATCATACAACACAATCTGGCCTACATACTTTTTGGCTTGTTTTGGCTATGGTGTTTGGTGAAATGAATTTTGTTATATGATGTTGTATGTTGTCCCACTTTCTCAAAAAAGTTTTCCTTCAATGCAGGTGCTACCAGGGTTGATTTCAATATCCATCCTCATGGAAACCCCAGGCACAGGTGGAAAAAATTGGGACCCTGCTTTTACTCTTTGAAGCCCAGTAAAAAACGAGCATTTTAGATCAATGTTTGTAACCTGTGCTTTCCCTGGGCTATAACCAATTGAGTTTGGGAAATGTTTTCCTTCAAAAATGCACTGGGGGCACAGTCATTTTCATAGAGACCAAGGCATGACCTTGGCACCGATGAAAAAATCTGAAATTCTGTGAGTTTTTTTTAATTATAAAACACAACGAAATAAGGAACCACAAAACATTGATCATACAACACAATCTGGCCTACATACTTTTTGGCTTGTTTTGGCTATGGTGTTTGGTGAAATGAATTTTGTTATATGATGTTGTATGTTGTCCCACTTTCTCAAAAAAGTTTTCCTTCAATGCAGGTGCTACCAGGGTTGATTTCAATATCCATCCTCATGGAAAAAGTATCATAATTATTATGAACTCATGAATTCACAAATTTTATCCTGTACCCTGAGGTAACCAAGTGGCAAAACATAATAAACAACATGTTCAATTTTTTTCCTATCCTCCAACTCTCCCCCCCTCAGGGTTTCTTTTGGTTGATTCTTAAAATAAAATCCACATCTCTCATCCCTCTTGTATATACTAGTAGTTTTCTTTCTATAATTAAGATGATCAAATCAACCTAATTTTTTTCCAAATCCTCTACCGTCATGATACTTACAAAAATAATCAAAAAAAATAATTTCAAAAATGTTTTGGGAGGGCAAACCTACAGGAAAACATTTGCATAGTACCAACGGGGATAGTACAAACACATCCCCTCACATCACATCGAATCATACATATTCAGTAACACATAGTCGTGCATGATAATTTATGATAATTTGATAATCATAAAATGTATGAAGTATAATTATTGAAGTATGAAGTCGATAATAATCTAACATAATCCAACATAATCTAATATAATCCTATATAATCTTATACAATCTTATATAATCTTAAGATTCTATCCATGGTCCTTGACCCCGCCTGGGCGCGCGTTCCCGTCGCGTCTGTCCCTTGCTGACCATGGGATCCGTGCGACGCATGGAGAAGCCGCGGAAGTCGTCCAGGCTCTGTCGACCTGTCGACGGAGCCTAACGTCGCTACAATCGATGTATCACCAGATTGGATTCTCAGCGTATACCCTCTGGTAAACTAACATTTTGCTATGGAAAATCACCATGCGATCAATGGGTAAATCCACTATTAAATGGTCATGTTCAAAATAGCAAACTGTTAGTCATTACCAGAGGGCAACCCGGTAAGGTTATCTAATGGTTATCCTGTTGATGGTTTATACTACCCACAAAAAGGGCAAATTCGGGATGGTTTACTATTCCTTTACATTAATCAAACAGGGGCTTTGAACACTGCTAAGGTGTGGGAACCGTTCCCTACACTGCTCACAGGGCGCCTTTCTCATAGCCCTCCACGTGATCCATGAAATCTTCGATGGAATCCTCTCCCTGGCGGCACGACATGGGATGATTCTGGGGATCCATGGGCTCCGTGGCTCTGAGATTTTGATGTGTTTTGTAATGGTGATTTAACGGTGATTTAATGGTGATGTATTTGCCAAAATAGAATGGTGATTTGAATGGAACAAAAAAGTCTAGTCGGGAAAATACCATCAAATTCGGATTCAGCCCCAAAAATAGCACTTTCGGAAAGAAACATATGGATAATAGTTATAATAGATGTTAATAGTTGTTGTTTGTCGGAATGGAGTACCCGATTGTCGAACACAAAAAAAAAAGGCTACAGGTCGCCACAACCGATGCACGGAATCATCGTGACAAATCCTGCGGCCCATCATCAATGTAGTCTTGAAAGAAGCCATAGCATCAATGTACCCTCTGGTAAACTAACATTTTGCTATGGAAAATCACCGTTCTTAATGGGTAAATCAACTATAAATGGGCCATTTTCAATAGCTTTTTGTTAAATTACCAGAGGGTAAAATGAAGGGGGCGCCATTGCCATGGAGGAAATAACCTCTAACATCCCTTTCCTGTCCAATTGATCATCTCAAACAAATGGATGAATGTAGTAAGATCAGCTTATTTAAACCCCTATATGGAAATTGGATAGCATAACCCACACAGAATCATCAAGGTAGAAAATCAAAACCTCAGGAGTATGCCTGTGGCTAACCTGAGAGCCACTAGTGTGCAAACCAGTCGCTCCTTTCATCCCATTCGCCAATTGAGCTGGTTGAAAACCACGACATCAAACTCCCGGCCTGGTAGTCTCCCGCGGACTTGAACATATCCCGAGACTCCTTTGGCGCGTGGCGAGCCAATTTGCGAAAAGAAAGTATTCCAAATTATCAGGAATATAGAGAAAGTATTCTCTATTCCTTTCTATATCTATATCTATATATATAGAGGATTTATCAGGATGGGTCGGGATGGGATTCGCATTCAAAAAAGTTGCCCATCTTCTGCCGGAGATTGTCTCAATCGGGTGGTTGCATCCAGGGCCCAAATAACCCAAATGACCCAAATGGTTCAGTGGATCGTCAACCTTGCCCCCCTAAAATGTAAAAAAAAATTAAAAAGAAGGGGGGATGGTGATCTTTGGCGATATTTTTTTGTTAAGTTCAGCACATACATCAAAGACATAGATCACATGGGGACATTCTTTTTTTGAACGATATTTTATACATTGGAAGATCTATCCCTACCAACAACTTCCAAAAAAAATGGTACCCCAAAACCTGTCCACCCAGCGGGTTCTCCTTGGCACATCTCTTGGCTTCCTCGAAGTCGCGGTTGCCCACGTGAGCACCCGACTGAAGCATCAGAGAGCCCGCCTAAACGCACCAGACAGCTGGGATCTAAACATGATAGTGCTTAATACGCTGCTAAGGAATTTCCCATGTTGATTTCGAGTGAACCAACATAACCAGAATGACATGCATGTCAGATTGCTTGCGATTGTACCTCAAGCTTACAAGTTCCTAGCGGGTGAAGAGCCAGACAGAGTCTCAGAGGAATGTAGTTGCACTTGGGTTTCAGATCAGTGTATCTAAGAAGAGCGACAACTGTAAATCCTGTTAGTTTGATGATTTTCCCAGCGAACGAAACCTCCATTTAGTTCGGGGATTTCCCAGCCATGTTTGATAACCAGGGGGCAATTAGCATCCCATTAATCTCTTGTGTTGATTATATCACTATAATATGTTCCCATTGAATGCTTATAATCCCATTATTATGTTGCAACTAATCCCACCACTATATTGGGTCTACATCAGTATAGTTATCCTATTAAATGGTTGTTGTCCCACAATACATATATATATTATATACATATATATATATATATGGTTGTTTTCCAACTAAGCTATACATTCCAAAAAACCATAGTATATCCCATTGTATATCGATTCATATGGGATTAATGTACTGGTACTTTAACCTATAATGTGTTTCATAGTACAATACAATATAGTACCATAATAGGATTATGATTGTTATTATCCCATTTAAATATAATTATTTGTATATACATATATATATATACATCTCCCTATGGTTGATTTAACCTTTATAGGTACTTTAACCAATATAATGTTGGTAAAACAGCAATAAACTACCCATTTGGGAATGGTTTATACCACCTATTTATGGTGATTTGGGAGATGATTTATTATTGTTTTAGCTACATTATATTATATTGGATAGTACAACCACACATAACCATATTATATAACCATCTAATAATCATCCCTATAATCATTGATGTCCCCAATAAATCCCCCAATAATCATTCTTTACCTTGTTCAAGCAAAGTTAACCCAAGTAAAGATTAAACCCAAGTTACCTTGCTCATTCCTCTCCCAATAATCTGTTTTTTTAATTCAACCCAAGTAAAGATTTACCATTTGGTTATTTAACATAGCCATGGAAAATCACCATAGGTAAACCATCTATACCCTCTGGTAATTTAACGTAGCTATTGAAAATGACCGTTAATAGTGGATTTTCCCATTAAAAATGGTGATTTCAATAGCTATGTTAGTCATTACCAGAGGGTAAATGGGCCATGGCTTCCATGGCTATATTTAAAAAAAACGTCCGACGTCCCACGCTCTGACCTCGCCCACGGTGTCTCGCAGGGCACGGAAGGCCGTCTCTGCGTCCTCGGACAATGCCCCGTGCACGGGCCATTCGAAAAAGGGTTGCAACGGTCGTTTTGGAGGATTCAAAGCAACACAAATTGGGAGATTAATGGGATTAAGGGGAATCTAATGGGTTTTTAATGGGAATTTAATGGGACTTTAGTGGGATGTTAATGGGATTTGAATGGGATATTTCCAAGATATTCATCGAAATGGCGTGTCAATGGTATACCCCATAGGATCCATGTATGGTATATATGCTAACATTTTGGGGTATATTGATGGTAAATGTTACCATATATAGCAGCACCATGGATCCTATGAGGTATTGGAAATGTGATCCCCCTCACCATCCGGTGTCAACCACGGACTCTGCGAGACGAGTCCTGCGCCGCTTTCAAGGCATCCTCGAAGTTGCGGTTCATCAAATTCGCCTAAGGGGACCCCGAAACACCCGGTGGCCGCGCCACGGTGGCCGCGCCATGGTCACCCAAAGTCAGAGATTCATGGGATCTACACGGTTTTACCATCCCAGTAGGTTTGAAAAATGGGATGAAAATTGCTAGAATTACTAGAAACTAGCCATGTTTAACCACCTTCATGGCATGAAATTCCAGCTCAATCGCATGACCATGAATATCCCATGGAAACGTCATTGAATATCATTAAGTGGGTTGGTTTAACGATCTTAATAAAACAATGTTAATGATTATTACATATTATTACCCTCCAGTAAATTCACATAGACCCTGCCAGATAGGGGCTGGAAGACTAGTTTCCACTATAAATTGGTCATTTTCAGGGTCTATGTTAATTGATATTAACAGTAACTGATATTGAACTGATATTGATGGAGTTGTTTATGGTTGATAATGCTCAATAATGATGAATGTCAACCCCAGATGAATCTTAATTTGACCCTAATAAATCAGGGGGTACACCCCAAATAGTGATAAAATGAATGGATGAAGCAAGACGTAGAAGATCCTATCGGTCATCCCAAACATTTTACGAAGATGCATGTTGTGACAATTGTAGATACAGTATCATGTCATGTACAACATACATATAATATAATATAATATAATATAATATAATATAATAGAATAGAATATAATATAATATAATATAATATAATATAATATAACATATATAGTATAATAATATATATATAATATACTATATATAATATATAATAATCTCTATATATATATATATCTTGTATATATGTCTGCCACACAGATGTATTCTTACCATTTCTGACCCTTTTCGATTTTCCAAGCTGGACATTCGCCAATGACCAGTGACATTGGCCAAAATGTGAAGAGAAATGGCTGCCTGTTGTTTCTCTCCCAACTCCTGTCGGCAGCCATGGGAAATGTGTCCGTGGGACCCAGTTGGTGATGCATAGTGTCCATGGTGTCCGTGAGATCCATGCCGCAACGTTGAAGATTAATGTTGTTTCAAGATGCAATCAGTCGATTTCAGTCCAACTCCATCCCCCATACATATATAATATATAATATGTGATATGTGTATATATAAATATATTATATATATATATATATATCATATATATATATATATCATATATATATATATATCATATATATATATATGGCTGAATTACCACAATTCACTAACCTGAATTGTATCTGAAACTTGCGGCCATTTGGGGATGATTTCCCTTCTTCTGAAACATCATTCCAGTGATCTCACGATGTGAGGTCATTATAATCCATATAATATAACTATACAATTACACATATATGTATATGTATATATATATATACAGAGAGACAGTATGTATAACTATGTATATATATATATTTACATAGAGATAGATAGCACATCCCCAAAAAGAACCAGCCCTTCCACCCCATCTCCAGCTCCTGGTACAGCTGAACGGCTTCCTGCGACGCCTTCAAGGCCTCCTGCGGGTTGCCCAACCCCATCGAGGCCAGTGCGAAGTGCACGTCCGCCACCAGCTGTGCTGATTCGGCGCGGCCCTTCTTGTCGCCCAGCTTCCTGGGAAAAAAACCCATGGAATCAATGTCAGATTATTGTCAGATGATTGGTAATTATTTCGAAGAAGTTGTAACATAGATAAAATTAGTAATAATGATTGGTATTCTTGTTGGTGATTAGTGGTTATTTTCTGATAAAAATGGGTCTTTGTTTAACTGGTAAACATTGCGTGTACTCAGGTTCGCATCATCCTACGAATCGTAACTGGTTCGCAACCGATAACCATGGATAACCCACGATATACGGGGACTCACTAAAAAACTCACCACTTACGATTCGTGGGATGATCCTGGGAATATAGCTTAACAAATGTTGGAAAAAAGAATGGGATTTAGCAGTTCATGGATATCCCCAATATTCCCCAATATATCCGGTAGGATATATCCATGTATATATAATTACATATATATATATATATATTCCCTATAATAGTCAACCCATTGCCCGCAAAAAGTGGGACAGATACAGCGCCTGTAGGCCAGCGCGCATTCCTCTGCCGACCGCTGGGCTTGCTGTGCGTCACCTGCCCATCATGAGGTGACAAGGTTTCCCTGTTTGACAATAACTTGGAGCCCGCAGTTTAGAAGTAACCATCATTTTGTCCATTATTTCCCCAGTGGTTTTCTATTCCCATTCAATTTTATAGTCTTTATGAAAAATCATCAAGTTGCAACTTACCATTTCTCACCATTTCCGTACATCAACTCGCCAACGGCGAGCCGGTCAGTTCCGTCTCCAGGCTTCGGGGCGTGGAACCCCGGCGGCGCCTCGGCTCAGGTGAATCTTGGCGATCATCTGCCATGCTTCACCTTCACCACGACGATCGCCTGGCGAAGCAGCCAAGCGGCCAAGGTAGCTAAGTTGGGAACTCCAACTAACCAGGGTTTATGGGGGTTATCTATATGATTCTATATGTATATGTATATATACAGTGAATTATATATAATTATAGTGAATTGATGTCGATTGGGGTTATAAATCAACTCATTATAACTGGCGGGGTACCACCCTAAAAAGGGTTTCCAGTAAACTCATCCAACCGGAGTGATTTTCCTGCCGTTTGGGGCCCCTGAAATCTCGTGCAAAAATCTGGTGCAGCTGAAGATCTCAAGAGATGCATCCACAGAGAAATGACAAAGAAAATCCGGAAGAAATTACCCTCTGGTAATTTAACATAGCTATTGAAAATGGCCATTTATAGTGGATTTACCCATTAAAAATTGTAATTTTCTATAGCTATGTTAGTTTACCAAAGGGTATTGATGTTCATCCCATGAAAAGGAACCACTTCTGAGGCATAGAAACTTATTGCTAACCACAAAAAATGACTCCATCATTTGCCAACTCCCATCACCAGATTTTTGGTCCCAAATTCCCACCTTTTGAAAAAAACAACACGGCACTTCCCAACCCCTTCACCCCCTTCACCCCCTTACCGAAGCCCAGAACCCGGCCCTACCCCAGGTCCCCAGGTCCGGTCACACCTACGGCCAGGAAGAGCGCAGGGCTCTGCACCAAGGCATTGAGAGCGTCTTCGGTCTCGCCCCGTAGCTGGTGTAGTTTGGCCTCGATGGTCTCTCCAAGTCATGGTCTCCAAGTACTGCTTGGTGGTTGAACATGGTTGAACCACCTACCCTCTGGTAATTTGTTACATAGCTATTGAAAATGGCCATTTATAGTGGATTTCCCCATGAAAAATGGTGATTTTCCATAGTTATGTTAAATTAGCAGAGGGTTAAAAAAAAAACATCAGTTCATTTTCAATTCCCAGAGATGAACATTCAGAAAATCCTGAACAAACCACCAGTATCAAAATTGGGCTGTCTCCTCATGGGGCCATGACCATACAGGATGGTGCCCCCCAGTTATAAGTTGGTTCATAAAGCCCCCATTAACATCCATTAGCTATAGCTATATCATGTTATATCTATTGTGACGGAGTCAAAGTTAGAATGAGTCCCGGTTTTCCAAAAAAAGGATTCGTGCACTTAGAATGAGGTGAAAAACACCCTCAGTTAGAATGAGGGGGGCCTTCCAACCTTCAAATCAAATCATAAATCCATCTTAAACCATCCAAAATCCAGTAAAAGGAAATAATTTCCAATGCAACGGGTCATCAAAACCACAAACTATATATATATATGCGTGAGTTGTCAAGGTTTATATTTTTTCTCTTTCTCTCTCTCTCTCTCTCTCTGAAACCTATCCCTTCCATCCCAGCCTGCACTCGTCACGCCCATAGGCGGTTGTGGTCATTTTCCCCGTTTTCCCGCCTTGTTTTGAAATTTCGATCCTCTAGTCCCTAAGTCCGCGTGGATTCATCAAAACAACGAAAATATGTATTTATATATATATACGTATATATATAAATATCCAGAACTAAAAAGATTCCAACACCAATAGGATGGGGGTTCCTGTTTTGGAACTTTCAAGAGCCCCTGAAGCGGACAATTTAGCCTGAGGCCGCCAAACTATGGAACGTACTGGGGTGGCCCCGAGTTCGGGAAGTCCCAATGAAAAAATAGATTCACAGTTAGAATGACTGCCCTTAGCCGACATGCATGGACATTTACATAAATATATATATATATACCGTATATACACATAAGAAATCATGCTTTGTGATGAAACCAGAAGTTTTGATGGTTATAGTGACCGAGGGAAAGATAGAATGAGCGTTTGGAAAACCGCTATGATTTTTTTTGGCCAAATGCAAGGCAAAACCCCTCATTCTAAGTGAAGGCACCCGGTTTTTCCATTTATCACCACAGTTTCGTTTTTGCGCTTTAGGCTCTGACTTTGCGGCATGTGTGGGGAACTCTGCATTTTGGCGACCACAGATAGAATGACGACCAAACAGATGCCGAAACCGTTACGCAGTCCCAATCCGTTAGATTCTTCCAGAAAAGTGTCGTTTAGTCCATGCCACCCATACCCTTCCGCCTAGGATGATTCATAAACACGACCATCATCATCACATCATCTAAATCACCTGATCTAATCACTTCGTCATTACTACCACCATCTGCAAGAGCCATGGACGACATCAGGGAGGGACTCCTGCTATCAGCACCACCAGGCCTGACTGGTTTTGGGCCTGCCCTCAAGCTTTACACCGAGAGAGAAGGGGAGAGACAGTTAGATATAGATATCGATGTAGATATGCATACACAGCATGTACATATTCATATTTATATACATACGCGCACACCTGTGATATTTTAGTGTGTGTATATAAATATAGTGATATTTGCATATAAGTAGAGGATCCGGTGCTCCTCTTTGACAAATATTTCCCTTTCAATTTCAAGCATGCTGCAGGCGCTGAACCTTGGGAACGCAGGGAGCTGGCTCCCCTGCCACCACCTGATGAACCTCCCCCGGAATCGGTGGAGACGAATTCACCGACGGCTGAGCCATCGGCAAGTTCAGTTGAACCTTCTGCGATGACAGCCCAGCCCGTCCCTACTCCAGATCTTCCCACCGGGATCAAAGAGTTCAAGACCACGTGCCTTGGAATTGGTCATGGGTGAAAACTAAGTGGATCACTTCAGTTTAACTTTGGAAGATTATCCCGGTATGGGTTTTTCACTGGTGTGGTGGGGAAACTGCTGAAATTTGTGAGGCTGAGTTAGAATGGGGTGCTTGATTCAGAAGCTTTGCTTCCCCCCTACCAAGCTTTGCCCGAGAGCCGCAGGTTTCAAGTGAAAATAGAGGGGAAGACGCGGATCTTCCCAATCAAGCTATACGGTGACAAGCTAGCCGCCCGAAAAGCAGCTGTCACGTTTCAGCAGCGGGCCACCCGCATGCTGACCCGATGTGAAGTCATGAAGGGTCAGGCACGGATCTGAGAACCCAAGTAAATACTTTGACCTTCAAGCCTTCCTTATTGTGCGAATTTGCATATACCCATATATACCCATCTATAATACTTCCCCATTGTTTGGGTACTTTTACCTTTTTTCATAGGGTACGTGGGGGTTTAGGTATTCTGGAACAGTCATTCTAACTCAGCTGGAAAAAAATGTTCAGCCCAGGGGATCTAACAGAATCGAACGCTCCTTCGAAAGAATCATATGAGTTGATGGTAGCTTGTAAGTTTCATTAAAGATAACCATCAAAACTTCTGGTTTCATCACAAAGCATGATTTCTTATGTGTATATACGGTATATATATATATTCATTTATTTATTTATGTAAATGTCCATGCATGTCGGCTAAGGGCAGTCATTCTAACTGTGAATCTATTTTTTCATTGGGACTTCCCGAACTCGGGGCCACCCCAGTACGTTCCATAGTTTGGCGGCCTCAGGCTAAATTCAAAGCATGTGCAAATTCTGTCCGCTTCAGGGGCTCTTGAAAGTTCCAAAACAGGAACCCCCATCCTATTGGTGTTGGAATCTTTTTAGTTCTGGATATTTATATCTATATATATATAAATACATATTTTCGTTGTTTTGATGAATCCACGCGGACTTAGGGACTAGAGGATCGAAATTTCAAAACAAGGCGGGAAAACGGGGAAAATGACCACAACCGCCTATGGGCGTGACGAGTGCAGGCTGGGATGGAAGGGATAGGTTTCAGAGAGAGAGAGAGAGAAAGAGAAAGAATATAAACCTTGACAACTCATGCATATATATATATATAGTTTGTGGTTTTGATGACCCGTTGCATTGGAAATTATTTCCTTTTACTGGATTTTGGATGGTTTAAGATGGATTTATGATTTGATTTGAAGGTTGGAAGGCCCCCCTCATTCTAACTGAGGTTGTTTTTCACCTTATTCTAAGTGCACAAATCCTTTTTTTTGGAAAACCGGGACTCATTCTAGCTTTGACTCCGTCACAATATCTTTCATGAAACTTACAAGCTACCATCAACTTATATGATTCTTTCGAAGGAACGTTCGATTCTGTTAGATCCCCTGGGCTGAACATTTTTCTCCAGCTGAGTTAGAATGACTGTTCCAGAATACCTAAACCCCCAAGTACCCTATGAAAAAAGGTAAAAGTACCCAAACAATGGGGAAGTATTATAGATGGGTATATATGGGTATATGCAAATTCGCACAATAAGGAAGGCTTGAAGGTCAAAGTATTTACTTGGGTTCTCAGATCCGTGCCTGACCCTTCATGACCTCACATCGGGTCAGCATGCGGGTGACCCGCTGCTGAAACGTGACAGCTGCTTTTCGGGCGGCTAGCTTGTCACCGTATAGCTTGATTGGGAAGATCCGCGTCTTCCCCTCTATTTTCACTTGAAACCTGCGGCTCTCGGGCAAAGCTTGGTAGGGGGGAAGCAAAGCTTCTGAATCAAGCACCCCATTCTAACTCAGCCTCACAAATTTCAGCAGTTTCCCCACCTACACCAGTGAAAAACCCATACCGGGATAATCTTCCAAAGTTAAACTGAAGTGATCCACTTAGTTTTCACCCATGACCAATTCCAAGGCACGTGGTCTTGAACTCTTTGATCCCGGCGGGAAGATCTGGAGTAGGGACGGGCTGGGCTGTCATCGCAGAAGGTTCAACTGAACTTGCCGATGGCTCAGCCGTCGGTGAATTCGTCTCCACCGATTCCGGGGGAGGTTCATCAGGTGGTGGCAGGGGAGCCAGCTCCCTGCGTTCCCAAGGTTCAGCGCCTGCAGCATGCTTGAAATTGAAAGGGAAATATTTGTCAAAGAGGAGCACCGGATCCTCTACTTATATGCAAATATCACTATATTTATATACACACACTAAAATATCACAGGTGTGCGCGTATGTATATAAATATGAATATGTACATGCTGTGTATGCATATCTACATCGATATCTATATCTAACTGTCTCTCCCCTTCTCTCTCGGTGTAAAGCTTGAGGGCAGGCCCAAAACCAGTCAGGCCTGGTGGTGCTGATCGCAGGAGTCCCTCCCTGATGTCGTTCATGGCTCTTGCAGATGGTGGTAGTAATGACGAAGTGATTAGATCAGGTGATTTAGATGATGTGATGATGATGGTCGTGTTTATGAATCATCCTAGGCGGAAGGGTATGGGTGGCATGGACTAAACGACACTTTTCTGGAAGAATCTAACGGATTGGGACTGCGTAACGGTTTCGGCATCTGTTTGGTCGTCATTCTATCTGTGGTCGCCAAAATGCAGAGTTCCCCACACATGCCGCAAAGTCAGAGCCTAAAGCGCAAAAACGACGTCATTCTAACTGTGGTGATAAATGGAAAAACCGGGTGCCTTCACTTAGAATGAGGGGTTTTGCCTTGCATTTGGCCAAAAAAAAAATCATAGCGGTTTTCCAAACGCTCATTCTATCTTTCCCTCGGTCACTATACCATAAACCATAGAATTCATCCACAGCCATATCTCAACTGAACGCAACAACCAACGTGGGATGTTACCTCTCCTGTAGTTACCTCTCCTCAGATGTTGGACGGTCTGAGTTTCCACACGATCATCAGGAGCGCACTTCCTTCGCCTTTCTTTTCCTGACAGGGGCTGAAACATCCTGGGCCAAGATATGTCGCTTCAAAATTCAGAAAATCAAAATATGGACCATGTCTCCTGTCCTGGTATTAAATAGTGGTTGGATAGGTTAATATTCACTATGTTTTTTTAATAGGCGAATCGAGGATTGATACTAGCTTCCCATCTGATTTATTAGTACTAAAGCAGGTTCAAATCAGTCAAGTCAAGCCATGGATCACTCGATCATTTCCCATTCGACCAGAAATCCCATCTATCATCCATTGGGGATGCTGGCTTGGCATTGGATAAATCCCACAGTAAATCCCACATTAAATCTAATCCCAATCCCATCCTATCCCTTATAAAGCCCTTATAAAGCCTTATAAATCCCTAAACAAATCCCCTAACCCTTAAATCCCTATCAATCCTTATAAACCCTTATAAATCATCAAATCCCTACATGACTCCCATCCCATCGCCCTCCGCGCGTGAAGGGCCGCGTCGTTCTCGCCTTGAGTCCCTTGTAGCGCCGTTGCTGCTCCGTCGCCAAACGCATGGCTTCATCCAGGCTACCCATGGCCGCCTGGGCATCCACCATGGCCTGCCGTGAAGATGTTGGAAAAAAACTTGGGGTAGTTGTGCTTGAGTATATAAAATATATTCTAGACATATGCATTATATATATATATATATACATATAATATATATATATATATATGATATATATATATATACATGTGTATGTATAGTTATTTTCGAATGGGAAAGTCATGGAAATTCTTGTGTTCATGGTGATTAAAAGAGGGATATCAATCGAGGTGTGGTTTCTCACTAACCAACTGTAATTAACCCCTTACCCCTAATAATTCTAATATAAACACCCTTAGTAGGGAATCAAAGCACATAATTCAAACCATACAATGGGGCTGTTTAATATTAGGGGGATGCGATTATATATATAGAGTCATCCTGGAGTAGGCAGAATATGGACATGTCAAAAAATCCTCAGTAAAATGGGAATATGATTGAAAATCTCAGGGTATTTCAAGTCCAGGATGACTATATCTGGTTGGTGGTTGAGCCTACCCCTCTGAAAAGTATGACTTCGTCAACAGATAGACAGATAGACAGATAGATAGTGAGCTTCAATTACGGTTGAAATACCGACACCCATATGGTTTACTTTGTTTACTTAGTATCAACATACTTCGCGGATCACTCCATTATTTAAAAAAACAAACGCCCATCTCGCCTTCAAACATAGGATCTCAGCATCACGACTCTCGCGGCTGGGGAAGGTCATGGTGCGGTAAAGGCTGAAAGCCTCGAGGCACAGCTAGGCCAGGTCTATGGGGAAAGTGATTTGAGGGGGCCTCAACAAGAAATCACTTGGATAGATAGATGTATATATGATATATGAATACATATAAATATACGTATATTATATGATATATGCATGATATTCTGATATATGTATGATCTATCCATTATCCAACTAATTTGGGGGTCCGAAACCACTTTGAAACAGCAAATCATCCAATTCAATCCAATTCATTGGTCATTTGATGGGGAAAACGGTACTTTGGGCCTTGGGAAATTGAATGAATCTGACTCAAATAGATAATATACCCCCAAAAAAAAATGGATTTGACAAAAGAATGGGAGGTTTCACAATGTGTCACACAAAACTGCGGAGTCACCCATCAAAATGTGGATTGAATAAAGGAAACGTTGAGTTTTGACCACCAAAGTTGGGTATTGCAATCGACCAAAATGGTTTCAAACCATTTGCCAAACCATCGCAATTTCGCCACGGTTCTCAAGTGGCACATACTGACCCAAGCGGATGGCCCCATTTGGGTGACGCCCCCAATAATGTATGGGTTTAAGGGCGAATCCTAAGCAGAACTCATGGGGTCACATTTTAGTGCGTTGGTGAGACGTGATTAATTGACATTTCCATTTGGTGAGTGAAACCCTTTATTTTGCTTGCAAGATTCCTAGCCGTTGTCCCTCAAAATTCTGTTGGCCTATATTAAATAACAGGTTGATTTAGTATGATTTAATGTATCTATTCTTTTCAGGCACCAAATGCGGGTATTGTCTATTCGATAGACCCCAAAAAGATCCGAAAAGCCAGACTTATATCCCATTTCAGAGTGGTTAAACATGGTTAAACATGGTTGAACATGGTTAAACATGGTTAAACATGGTTAAACATGGTTAAACATGGTTAAACATGGTTAAACATGGTTAAACATGGCTAAACATGGCTAAACATGGTTAAACATGGTTAAACATGGCTAAACATGGTTAAACATGGTTAAACATGGTTAAACATGGCTAAACATGGCTAAACATGGTTAAACATGGTTAAACATGGCTAAACATGGTTAAACATGGTTAAACATGGTTAAACATGGCTAAACATGGTTAAACATGGCTAAACATGGTTAAACATGGTTAAACATGGTTAAACATGGTTAAACCATCTAAAACCAACAGTTTCTATGCACCGCAAGTTTCTTTCAAAGTTCCAGAGATTTGGAACCAAGGACCCAACCTGCTCGGCCGCGCGAAGAGCTTCACCCGGCTCTTCCTGTGCCGAAACCGGGCCGAATCTGGGGACCAAAGGTCCATGGAGACAGTGGTCAAATGTGGTGCACAAAATCATGTGGAGACATAGACATTTACAGTGGTAAATGTGGTAAAATGTGGTTTTTGATATGGTAAAATGTGGTAAAATGTGGTAAAATGTGGTAAAATGTGGTAAAATGTGGTAAATCATGTGGAAAACCTGGCTGGTTTCCTCGGAAAAGGATCTACAAATAGTTGGTTCTCCACATCTGAAAATTTACAGGTGGGTAACTCATGGTAACTCGAATTGATCAACCAATCCCAGAAAATGCCTTGCTGACTCAACTGACCCCTCGGGTTAACTATGCATTATCACTAATGGTGGGTAAAATGATTCATTTGACTTTCAGGGAATAGTGGATAATTATATCTCAATACATTGTATGCATCAACCAATAATGAAATATATCAAACAGAATGGATTAATGTGGGATACAATGGTGCGATGGTTATAATGGAGGTAATGATCAAAAGCAGTCATGCTGTTGGGAGACATCATGGAGATATTGTGTGGATATAAAATATGGGGATACCATGGGATCCAATCAACAAATACGATAATCATTGGGACGATCTAAACCACAGAGCAATCACTGAGTTTCAATATGTATCCTTCACCACTCAAGCGCAGTACTTGAAGATCAATCACATCCAAGATGCTGTTTAGTCTGACATGGTGACAGGAGTGACATAACAACTCGAAAATTGCAGTGGACATCACGTTGTCGTCCAGTGACAAGCAAGCACGTTTATTTCAGCAAGTGCAACTGTGTGAGTCAGGTGATTTTGTGAGATCAAAGTCCGCAATGAAGCGGATGACATATGTTTATGGGAACAATGTCATGTGTCATGTGAATTGAACCATCTGCTAATGGTGTCTGCGTTTATTAGTAATGATTGGCGTTTCAATGGTCCAATGCGATACAGTAGATTGTCTTGTTCTGCAACCCAATTGTTCACTTTCAAATGAAAGGTTTAAACATAAACAAATCCGCCATGCTTTCCACACGGTCTCTACGGAGATACGTAGACGCCGTGCCCCCATTTCAGCGACCCTGTTCGTCATACCCATTTCAGTGCGCATGCTACAGAAGGCCGTAGGCGTGGAAGGATTCAACATAGAGACATACCCGTTGTTTCCCGCATGTTCCTTGTTTCCTGAAGTCTCGGCATGAGAATCCACTAACCTTTCAATTCAGGTTTGGTCCTAGTACACCCTGTGTTTGTTTTTTCACTGGGGGCTGTGATCTTGGAATATATCCAATACGCACTCGTTCCAAAGAAATATCAATGCCGATGCCACCAAAACTCGTTTAAACACAGATATACATAGATATATATATATATAATTATATATATAGATATAGTATTCTACGTATTTCATATTTTCATGTTTGGTTGATTCTTGGTTGATTCCCATGGCCATCTTCCACGCACCTTCTCCAATCGGATCTGGGCCAAAAGTTTAGAGGTCTTCGCTTCGCCCTTCCGGTCGTTGGCGGCCTGAACCCGACCACTGTTAGAGAATGCTCTCAACATCCCAAATCCGAAGAGAAAATTGCAACATACTAAGATAAAAATAAACTATTTACGATGTGGATTTACAAATGTATATATATTATATATACGTATATATATATGCATATGCATATATATATATATATGCATATATATATATATGCATATATACATGTATTTTCCCTGTTAAAACAACTATTCGAATTTAAAGATTGTATATTAGACAAACCCACGTTTGAATTTCCACGGTCTTCTTTTCCATGGAGGGGTCTGTTGAATCCGGGCAGGTCACAGGTCACAGATCGAGAACGCCCAATGTCACTGGGTTTTCGCTACGGGTGTCAAAATGGATATGGGGAATGTTGTGCATGTGTACGTACGTATATATGTACATGTAGACATAGATATAGATATGACTATGTAAACATTATGTGTGTGTATAACAATGTGTGCGTATGTGTATATACGTGCACATACATAAGCTGTAAATATATATATATATAGGGTAAAGGCTTGAGGTTCCCCGGAACGCAATTGAAGTGGAGCTGGACAAAGATTTGGAAACGTCATTTTTAACTGTGTTTTACGGTGTTTTGTGGTTTTCATGGAACATGATACATTGAACGACTTCAACACGCGGATAACATACCTGGGGTATGTTGTCCGCGGTTTTAACGAGTTTTGGCTTTGTCAAGTTCATCATTTCATGTTGTTTTCATAGAAACCCGTAGAAATGTGTGTTGATAGAATTTCAGTGTTTTTATGGATCACCTGAAATGTCAACAGTTCCCCAGAGAACCATGGGCGAAATGCTCGGATCCCTTTTGCTCATCTTCCACATCCACAAGGCCGTTTTGAAGCTGTTGGTAGCAACATCTTCAATGTGGCAACATCTTTAACATCTTCAACGTAACAACATCTTCAACCTAGCAACATCTTCAACATAGCAACATGTTAAACATCTTCAACGTAGCAACATCTTTCCTCTAACGCAGTTCAAAGGACGTTAATAGACCCCCCTACCTGTATATTAGATGATCAGGGATATATTATTGTATCTCAAGACTCAAGGTTCCCCGATGTTCCCGGGAACCTCAAGCCTTGCCCTAATATATATAATATATATACTGTATATATACACATGTAGAATGCTGGATATGTCGAGAAATTGGCTGGAGCTCACCCCAAGTGGCATCCCTATGTTGAGAGGCGTCACCCCAGATTTTGAGAGGTCGTTCAACCCGAAGCTGACTGATGAGGTGCTGACGTACCATATGTGGACGTACCAAATATCCGTAATTTTTCCGGAGCATTTTTTTTTGAAGTTTTTTTTTGTGCTTTCAGCTTTCAGAGATTACATGAGATTACTAGGTTGAAAGAAAAACATTAACATGATTAAGATTCAAAAAAAAAGTAACTTGAGTGCAAATCATGCAGTTGTCAATCAGAAACTCACATCATCTAAGACTGGTTGGTGGTATACCTGCCCCTCTGAAAAATGATGGACTTCGTCAGTTGGGATGATTTTTCCATTCCCTTTTCTGAATGGAAAGTCATAATCCAGCCATATTCCAAACCACCAACCAGTACATATATAGAGATTGATAGATTGATAGATAGAGAATTGATAACTACATATATCTACTGTATAGTTGCCAGAAGAAGTCATCATTTTTTGTAGCTTTTCCGTTGGGGGATCCCCCCGACTTTGGGATCCCCCAACTGATCATTTCTGCAAGGAAGGAAATCTTTGGTGGTTACCCGGAGAGAACTGGGAAAAAAACATCACAACCAAACAAAACCATATACCCTCTGGTCATTTAACATAGCTATGGAAAATCAACATCTATAGTAGGTAAATCCACTATAAATGGTCATGTTCAATAGCTATGTTAAATTACCAGAGGGTACATATATACTGCAAACTGGTGCTGTTATATAATTTGGTTTAAAACATGTTAAAACCAATTTAAAACCATGTCAAAAAAAAAAAAACGGCCATATAGAGGTTTCCTAAAATGGGCGGACCCCCAAATCATGCGTTTCTCTATTGAGTTTCTAAGCATAAACAATCCATTCTTCGGGACCTCCTTTTATCGAAAAGCAACATGTTTAATAGGTATATAATATATATCATCGTAGATATTCACAAATCATCTTAAAACGTGCCATGTTCATCCATTTTCCATAGCTAACCTCCATTGTTTGAGTGATGTTTCGTCATTGTTCCTGTTCACCGCGCCTTATACGAGGCCAAGGCCCCTTGCGCAGCGCGCAGGGCTTGGTCCGTTTCCTGGGAAGCCTCGTTTGAAACGGCGGTTGGGATCCATGGGGAAAGATCGGCTGCTTTTTTTATGGGATCCAACCAAAAATGCTGATAATGGTGATTTTCCATTAAAAATGGTGATTTATAGTGAGTTTTCCCATTAAAAATGGTGATTTTCCATTGCTATGTTAGTTCACCAGAGGGTATGTCTGAAAATGGGGTATACCCCCAATGAAATAGCCATAAAAAGTAGGGATAATGATCAGCAAAACTATTGGGTTTTTTGGGGTACACTTTCAGACAAACCCAATGGGGATGGGTCAAAACCCTGGTACCTTTTGTTCACCCCAAGTCATAGCTGGGATTTATGGATGTGAATAACTCACTAAAAATATGTATCTATAGGTATTGACCCATACCCATATTACAATCATGTCCTTTTGGCAAAAATCGAGCCGGATACTGGTATACCATCATCAAACATTTACCTATCAAACAAACCATCATCATTTACCATCATCATTTACCATCATCATTTACCTATCAAACAAACCTCGTGTTCAAGGGGGTTCTTCAAAGCCCCAAAAAATCACATCGATCAACCTATGGGGTGATCCCGTGAAGATTCCCAAGGGAAGAGCTGGCTAGGATCCACCATCAAGATCTGTGTGCTATGTGGTTTTTGTTGCTTGACAAACATTACTCACTCATCAACAAATGGTGATTTTTATACTTATCCAAGAAAAATGCTGATTCTATGGGGATAGTTTCAATGAATATATAGTGATTCATGCTATTTGTATACAGTAACCATTTAGTACTAAAGTCCCTCCAATGTCATCAAACGTAGCAATGCGAGATGGGATGGATCAAGCTTGGGATTGGCCAGAAAAATTCTGAATCAACTGGTCATTGAGTGGCCCCCCAGCTGATGAATTTCATCTACGGCGTTCTTTTTGAGGAGTTCTTAAAATGTGAAATGTACTTTGGTGCAAAGGACATCATATTCACATTTCTGACAAAAACCAACTGGTTGAGGCCAGTAGACCACATAGATAAATACTTCTGCACAAATCTGCAGCTGCAGCTTGTTGGGAAAAGATGGTTTAATCTCTATCCTTGCCATCAACGGGAACACGTTATTCTCCCGAGCTAAACATAGTGTTCATTCCGCAGAATCTAAGACTAGTCGCGTTAAATGGTGAAAGTTTTTTTGATGAGCAACTAGTTCTTAAATGGCGATTGAATGGAAAATGAAATATCGAGGAACCTTGTCAAGATTGGTGTTCTGGAAAGATAATTACTCAGAAATTGGAAGGGCTGTTCAATACAACACCTGTTTTCTTTTCAAGATGAAATGAATATGAAGGATTATTATAGCATATTATAGCCTTAATTTATGGCACTATGGACTTGTTCCATGAGGGTATTCACCTTGATTCCATGGCCATCAATGGAGCCATTCACTAACCATCCACTTGGTCGAGCTTTTCTTAGGCATGTCTCGTGCCATCAATAGCCATGAAAGGACATGACGTGCAAAATCAGCCATCCTATCAGCCATTGTTGGTTAGTAACGGTTATATAGAGGTTCTCGTGGGGGAACCCCGGTATATCCCAGTGAATATCCCATTAGATCATATTAAGTCCCTATTATGACTGTGGTAAACTAACGTAACTATAGAAAATCACCATTTTTAATGGGAAAATCCACTATAAATGGCCATTTTCAATAGCAAACTGTTAAATTACCAGGGGGTATGACTGTGGTAGTCCACCCCACATTTCGTCCCCGGCCTTGTGAATGTTTGCCAAGACGAACATGCAGGCGGCTTCCTCCTGGAGATTCTGCAGGGTCAAGTTTTCCTGGAGACCTGGATTACCTGGAGGACCACAGTCCTTTTTCCAACTGTATTGCCATCTGGTAAACATACAAAAAACGAACTGGAACATCACCATTTTTCCAAGCTATTCATGGGTAAATCCACGAAGTCAATGGCCATGTTCCACTTCGCAACCAGTTTTTCCATGGTTTTTCCCAGGTTGGGTCACCATCCAATGATGGCACCCACCCAGTTTTTTCCAGCTCAATTTCGAATCCCCGAGATCCGACCGAACGATCCGAGATATGTCTGACCAAGACGTACAGGTGTAACTCATGGGAAATTCATGGGATTTTCATGGGTTTCAATGGGTTTCAATGGGTTTCAATGGGATGTCATGGGTTTGAAACATGGAAAATTCCATGGGGATTTTTCCGAGATGAACAGGATGAACATGGACATCTTTTCTGAGATTTAGATAGATTTAGTGGCTTTTAATGGTCGGATGATATACATTAATATAATACTATATTATTATTGTATCTGGTTGGTGGTATACCTCCTCTGAAAAATATGACTGCGTCAGTTGGGATGATTAGTCCCAACTGAATGGAATTAAAAAAAAAAACATGTTCCAAACCACCAACCAGTTATCGTTGGGTCTACCAGATTGCATACCCATCCGGAAAATCAAACGTGGCTGGGAAATCCCCGAACTAAATGGAGCTTTAAGTGGGAACACCATCTATACCCTCTGGTAATTTAACGTAGCTATTGAAAATGGCCCAGTCGAAATAGTGAGTTTTCCCATTTAAAATGGTGGATCTTTCCATCGTTTTTTGTATGTTTACCAGGCCGGGTAAATACGGTAATTTTCCATTGCCATGTTTGAGAAAACCAGTGCATTTCCATGTGCGGGAGTTGGGATGGTCTAGATCTTTCAGAAGGTCATCTCAGAAACTTCCCAAAAAAAATCCCATGAAATCCCAGAAAAATCACCGACATCTGGCAGTGTGTCAAAACCAATAGTACCCCTTTTTAGTTCACATCAAAATAGCTGGGATTTATGGATGTTCATCCCACTAAACATGGTACTTATAGGTATTGATCCATACGTAGCCATCTGACAATGTCAGCTTCACCCCCCTTCTGACCAGCCCGATCCACCCCATCCAACCCATCCACCCCATCCAACCGTCTCCTTCTTGTCACCGGCCTGACGAAACTTGTCCGCCAAGGTTTGGCCGACCTTCAGCGCGTTGGCATCGCCAGCCATCGCATCCAAGGCCACACTCTCCTGGGAGCCACAAACAGCACATGTTAAGATACCGAAAGTTGGTCAAGTCCCAAAAATAGTGGTAACTTTCGTTTAAACATATCTCTTTTTGGGGTTACTGTAGGGATGTGTCAAACTCTGTGAAATACCACATTGGTGGGGATGATCATCGATTTACTACCATAAAACTGCAATTTTACGTGGGAAAATTATCATAAACATATTTTGGGGGTATCCTATTTTCAGATACACCCATGAAATGCTCAGGAATGTGGTGGTTACGTAGTGACTTAGTGAATGGGTTGCTGTTTGGGCATGTCATTTTGCGGTGAGACCACGGTTCCTTCTAGCTTCAAATAGCTTCAAAATCCAAGCACCTTCATGGCCACTGCCTGCTGTCCCTATCCCCAGAATCTTCCACTCATCCACAACCTGCCAACCATCATCCATCCACCATCCCAACCATTGCATCATGGGGATTCAAGCAACCCATAAGGTGACTCACCAACACCCACTCCAAGAGCGGCATGAGCGAAGGAATAAATTCCAACCACACCGTCCCAACATGTTTTCTTCGCCATCCATCTAAATCATTCTAAATCCATCTTAACCATCCATCTTGCATCCCAACCCTCCCAACCATTCCAGCTCTCGCCTTGTCCTTGAGCCCCATGCCCTGGTACATCTGTAGCGCCTCTTGTCCCGGTGTGCTGGCATTCTCCGCTGAGCTTTTCGCCACCAAGCAGAGGACTTTGGCCAAAAGCAGCTTGTCGCCCAGGCTCCTGGCCACTTGGGAAGATGTGGCTGCGGCATGATCACTGATATTGGGTGTACATCGTTTAAATTATAAAAATTATTGTGATATAGAGAGAGACAGAGAGAGAGAGATATATATAGAAAACTTATTGTCTGTGTAATTATATACATGTACATGTACATGTACATGTACATGTACATACAAATACACATACACATATACATATACATACACACATACATATATATATATATGTATGATCACACATATATATATATAATATGTGTTCATACATACCTCTATATATATACATATAGTATGTTCATACACATGGTGTGTGTGTGTGTCGGTGTGTGTAACTGCAAAAAACTGCTATATAACATATCTAAATTATATGTGATAGCTATATCCCCTAGTTTTTTTGCTGGTGATATCCCTATGAGGATCAGTTACATCCACTCCGGTTTTTTTGGATCCAAATGCTCCATCAAGCAGTTTTGGGGAATCCACCATCTCATTTTTTGGGGAAAAAACGACCGGAAAATTAACCATGGTTGGTGGTATACCTACCCCTCTGAAAAATATGAAAGTCACTTGGGATTATTATTTCCACAGAAAGGGACGCTCTCAGTCCCCACGTTTACACATGTCTGGATGGATGAGGTAAAGATAAATATAAAGAAAAAAAAATCAGTAAAACAATGCTACATATATGGAATTTGTACAAATGAATATATCATGTTACTAAAAAAAATGATTGAAGGACACCTGGCCATAACCTAATTTCCAAATCTCACAGGAAAGAAGGAGCCACACAGAAAACAACCGGGAAAAAAAAAAAAAATCGGTTGTTTTCTGACCCCCTCCCCTCCCCTAGATGGGCTATCTTGGCTATCTTGGTGGCTCTAGGTGGCTCTCTGGGCCATCTTGTCTGCTACAGCCTCATATGGTATTCTTATGGGACTTCCACTGGGTTCTTATGGGATTTCTATGGTATGTCTATGATATTTCTATGGAATTCCTATGAGATGTCTGAGGGAAATCTATGGTATTCTTATGGGATTTCTTTGTGGTTCCTATGCTATTTCCATGTTATATCTATGATATTTCTATGGGGATTTCTGTGGGATTTTCCATGATATGTCTATGATATTTCTATGGGGTTCCTATGGGATTTAAACAGGATTTCTATGGTACTTCTATGATATGTTCAGAGGATTTCTTTGGGAATTCTATGGGATTTCCATGAGGTGTCTTGAGAATGTCTATGGTAGTTCTATGATATTTCTATGGGACTTCTATTTGGTTCCTGTGGGATTCCATTGGTATTGTTTAATATGATGTTTCTTTGAGACTAGGACTAGAAACTTAATCAGTGATAAATAACTAGAAAAAAATAGTAAAAAGCAGCTAAAAATCACGTAAAAACTGGGGACCCACAGCGTCCCACACTCTATTTCCAATAGATGAAAAAATGAAAAATGTTCCAAACCACCAACCAGACCATGGTTGAAAGAATTTTCCCAACCGTGTGGGCTTGAAATCGCCCAGCGAGGTCGCTAAATAATCCAAATATTCAAAAATGACCCCGAGTCAAGTCATTGGGCTACCTCAGAATGCCTGAAAACCTGAGCCCGTGTTCAAAACTTGACCAATTCAATCTTAAAAATTAGGGTGCCCATGCTAAATGCTAAATGCATCTAAATGCGGTTTGCGTCTCATCATTTCCCCAATTTGTTGTCTTGCAATTTTGGGGTCACCTCCATCTCTGGACAAAACAAACATATTTGTGAAACCACCAAAAAAATGACACAACTCCAGCAACATTTCAATGACGTTCAGACGTTCCCCATGATCCAAAGAAACTGTGGGTTGAATCCCAGGTACTTTGTCAAATCTCGTTCTTGTCTCATGTTTGGTCAAATCCAGATTGTCCGCTCATTAAATCCCCATTCAGATTTTAAATCTTCCTTTTTTTGCTGATGAAAATTCATCAAATATCAAAAAATCCTCAAAACTTGAGGCCGGGGGTGGATGACGAAAGCTAGCGGGGTAGGAGAAAGAAGGAAGGGAAGACGTATCTTCAATGCCAGCGGGAGGAGGATGATCAGGATGAGGAAAAGAACATGATGATGCTGATGCTGATGCTGATGCTGATGGTGATGATGATGATGATGATGATGATGATGATGATGATGATGATGATGATGATGCTGATGCTGATACTGATACTGATGATGATGATGATGATGATGGTGATGATGATGATGATGATGATGATGGTGATGGCGATGGTGGTGGGGTGTGGGGTGGGGGGGGGCCCCCTTTCACGTGAAAAATCACGTGATGTCCTTGAGCAGCCCCCTGAATACTTGCTAAAGCAAGAAGACTCCAGCTAGCTGACGCTAGCTTTCGTGAAAATCCCGGTGAAATCAAGCCATGTCTTGGTCCAGTTGTCTCCCAGTTGTCTCCTTGCCAGCTCCAATGCTTCCTGTGCGTGGGACAAGGCGCGACCCAAGATGCCTTGCGTCAAATAGGCCTGGCGGAACGATGGAACGGTGTAGGGAAGGCTGATTTAGATGGCTATGGAAAGATCCACCATTTTTAATGGGAAAATCAACTATTTCTATGGCAATTTTCAATAGCTATGTAACAAATTACCAGAGGGTAGATGGTGATTTAGATATGCCTTGATTTAATGGGTATGGTGATTTAGATGTGGATTTCATAGTGAGTAACCTTATCCCTGCTAAAGAATGTATAGACTCACCATCAGATTTAATAGATATTGTGAATTGATTGTGAGAATATGGAGGTAGAATGGGGATACAATAGAGATATACCTCCATTTAAATGAGCATCTGATGTGGTGGATATGGGGATATCGCGTTGTATATTCATGCGGATATTGCATTATACCTCCATTTAACGTAGTCTATGGACGGAGGTATCATCGGTGTATCATTCATGATATAAAAGCCATGAAATCATTTAAGTAAGTTTATGGACATGGTAGGGTGTTTTAACATGTTTTAACCACCAACAACCACCAACGTTACAATCAGTTCTAGCTTGTGAACCATCTATCTTGGGTATCAGCTTTCGGGAAAACTGAAGGGGGACTTTTGCCGCAAAGAATCAATGGATTTGCCAAAGAAATGGAGGGTCCGGGTCCTGCAGTCCTGTTCCCTCTACTTCTTGGGTCACTTGGTAAGGCTAACCAGGCATGGTGGATGTGTCTAGAATTCGATGTTTTCGCCAACACTGAACAAACCAAAATGGCTGCGAATACTGTAGGCAGTTTTAAAGAACCTCATCATCGCAGCCATGTTGGTTTAACATGATTGATTGGGATATCCAATTTTCTGGTGAACCTAAATATCCTAAATAGTAATAATCAGTAAATTCCTAGAGTGACATCCTGTTTAGTGGGTTGGTTGGTTCAGACACCCCATCATTTTATGGTTAGACACCCACCACTATCAGAAAGTAATTAATGGTTAACTTGGTTAAATATGCTTAAATCAAGCTTGTTTTCACTAGTTGTATTATCATTATTATCCCATGATCTCATGTGATATCCTTATCATATCCATATGAACATCCACATAGATCCACTTCCCCAGAGAATCGCATCCTCCAAAGGCCTCCGTCAGGGTGGTCAAAATGCCGACCTCTCGCATCCTCCGAAAGTGAGGGCTGAAACAGAAAAAACCTCCGGAAATTGCCAAGGCCCAAGGCCACAAAAAATCGGAAAGTGACCATCCCACAGTTCTTTAGTGTGGTCACTTTTAGATAGTTGTAGTGAGAATTCAGAATGACCCTTTGGAATTCAACAAGATAAGCCTCAAGCTGGTGGCTTAGGACTGGAAAGAATCTATTTCGAAAGCAGTACATTGGAGAGATCATCAGTGCGGCCACAGCCAAACTCAGCGGACAGCTGAGTTTGGCTGGGACTAAAGGACCCAACTGCTGATTCTGGCCAGTTCCACACATTGAAGTTTGTGTATATAAATTGTATACAGAAAATCAGATGATCACTGATGATCACTAAAAATGGCCAGGATCTCTAATTGATTCAATAGAATCAATTGATTTCATACTAACCAAGATCTCTACGCTCCAGGATTCCAGGATTTCTAATCATTGCAATGATTTAGTGAAGTATTCCAATTTAACGGAATTAAGATTTAATAGTGATTTATTGAGTGAATTATTCCATATTCATTTATAAAAATGGTTATTCAATGGATTTCCAGGCCCAACTTCACTCCACCTTGTTTCCGTTGCAATCCCTTGCCGGTCCTGTCACCCACCTGTCGCGCCAGTTTCAAGGCCTCTCCGCCACGGAAGATGCAGTCGTCTGTGCTGTCCTGCGACGCGGAAACCCACCGTACCTAGTTGCCTGGTTGGATGATAAGGGACTATTGAAAGTGCTCATAGTTCAAGTTACCCTCTGGTAATTTCACGTAGCTATGGAAAGATCCACCATTTTTAATGGGAAAATCCACTATTAATGGCCATTTTCAATAGCTACGTTAAATTACCAGAGGGTACAACATCGATTATAACGAGCTAAAATTACTGTTGGATGATTGTTTCATGAAAGTTACAAGTTTTATATAATACTGTGGTTGGTTGCGAAATCCTAAAAACCAGTTGGTAGATGGTTGCGAATCCCATTTCAATCCCATTATTTATAGTGGTTTGTCTGAAAATAGGGTATATTCCCAATTATAGCCATTTAATAGGGATAATGATCATTAACCATTGGGTTTAGGGGTACACTATTTTCAGACACACCCATAGTGTTTCATAGAAATCCCAATCGAACTGGTGCAGGATTTCTGGAAAATCCACGTCGATCCACATTGATGCTGGAAGATGCTGAAAGCCTAGCTGTGTCCGAAACGACTTTGGAGCTGAGCTGTGTCTGAAAAGCTTGGAAAACCCAAAAAAAAACATGGTTGATCATCATGTTCCCCATTAAAATCATTAAAAATCGCCAAACATTTTTCGGATAAATCATGTTCATGTTCCAAAAATATATAAAAATATCACATGGCTATGGATCAATACCTATTAATACCATTTTTAGGGGGATGAACATCCATTTACCAGCTATTTTGATGTGAACTACAGGGGTACAAGGTTTTGACCCATTGCCACATGTTGTTGGAAAAAAAAACGAGAATTTCTGAATGAATAAGATCATCCCATAGAAGATCAAAAAAAGTGGCTAAAACAATCATGATCCCCCAGTCATCACCCATTTTTATAGGTGGTATATATAAACCATTCCCAACAAAAATGGGTGGTTTATGACATGGTTTTACCCACAAAAAATAGTGGTTTTTCCAGTAGCTATAAAGGTTGAACCAACCATAGGGAGATGTGTATATATATATATATATATAAATGGGATAATAACCATCATAATCCTATTTAATGGTACTACCCTCTGGTTGTGACTAACATAGCCATGGTATAGATGGCCCATTGAAATAGATGATGTTCCCAGCTAGAAACCTCCATATTTATTTTAGGGATTTCCCATGGCTATGTTAGTCATAACCAGATGGTAAATCTTATAATAAGGTTGATGGTCATCCCATCCATAATAAGGATCCTTAAAAAATGGTTATTATAAATCCCTATGAACCATTGGATGACCAGCCCCTATTAGTGGTTATTAACCATGAGTAGTGACCATAGCTCATATCGTGTCATCATCTGTTCCAAGATGTCCCAAGATGTCCCTAGCGGCGCTAGCTCCGGCGCCTTGCCCATGTGCGCCATGGCAATGGCATGGATTGCTGCAGCCTGCCCCTTGACGTGGCCGATCTCCTGTGCGATGGCTGCAGGCCGTTCGCTGGAAAAAAAATGGTGGGTCTGGAACTAGTTTAGCTCGGAAAAAAACACTTAGATGGTTTGATCGTGTTTGATATATACAGTACCCTGTTGTGTCAACTAATTCGAAAAACTTGCGTCACTATTGACGAACTTCATGAACTTTTGGCTATTACAACACTTATAAACGATATTTCGATGGGTTCATTTTCCACAACAAACCAACTTGTACCTAGAGGGCACGACTTGTGACTTCAGCTCGACCCCATCTACAATGGACCCTTTCAAAATCCAAATCGGCAGGAGTTCACCCACAACCCCGGCAAAAATATCCCAACAATCCCCACATAGGACAGTTTCAAATCAAACGTCCGCTTGCTAGTCTCTTCACATCCAAGTCACAGTCAAGCAACATTTCAACAATCCCTCGAAACGAATCGCATCCAACAAGACATGTACAAAACCAATGCGAAAAGATCGACAATATCAACAAATAATCAACAAATAATCAACAAATAATCAACAAATAATCAACAAATAACAAATAATCACAATGATCACAATGATCAACAAATAAACTCAATCATCCCGCAAAAAACAGATCCCCAAAAAAAGGAAATCAGCAGATTTCGCACCGCTCCTTGAAGGTTTTCAGCGATTGATTCGCCGCCTGCAGGGAGCCAAAGGCATCCTGTCCCAAGGCACTCAGAGCCACCGCGCGCAGTGCGGTACCTTCACCTGGACCCAGGCTGGGGGATGGCTGGGGGATGGCGGATGAACGTGGCACTGGTGGAAATTTAAGGTCGAGTTCTGGAAAAATGGCCATGACATCAGGTTTCATGGGATGAATAAAACGTCTATGATCATCCCAGAATTGCGAATCCGGCCACAATCAGTATTAATGGATTGATGATGGTTGATGAGCATCCCGCAATATGAGAGCACAATCCATCTGTTGACCATGGCAGCCATGGCACATGTGAGTGCATTTGTCATTTCAGACTGACATCATAGAGGCATTCAAAGTCCCATCTGACAGTCAAAACGTTCGAACATGTGCAAAGTTTGAAGGCAACATTCGAAACAACAGCAGTTGCATTTTGCAGTTTCCATCCAAGTCACAGAACGTGTTGAAATGGGAAAGTGACTTTCACTTTTCAAATTGACGGGCTCATACAGTACCACCCAAAAACTAGTCTCACAAAGAATCTGGAATCATAAACTTGTGACCATCATGTGCAGGTTACCCCATGTTACCCCAACATCTGAAATTGATTGCCATATCCAAGAATTCTAGGCCTTTTTACATACCGCTTCCATGCGGCAAAAATTTTGGCTGATCCGGTGGCCTTCCAGCGAGTTCACTTCTCTGAAGGTGGAAAGGGCCTCGGAACAATGGAGCGCAATCCGACATCTTACGGGGTACCCTTAGTGGTGGATCCCAGAAAGGTACCCCGTGGTACCAATGCGTTTCAATCAAACAGTTGCCTGACTTGGATAACTTGGATGATTTGGGACACCTCTATTTTAGACCCAGTATGCTCCATGGTGCCAGAATATGTAGCTGAACTGGGTCGGTTTTGGCTAAATGTTGGTAAATGTTCAGAACCATGGAGCATTGGGGAACAGTCCCATACCCAACAAGAACTAGAGCAACTATTGAAAATGATCGGCTCTATGGTGCCATTGCCGAAATAGAAGCCACCGGACACACACAGTCTGACCGACCTCTACCTTCTGGGTGGTTGAAGTCTTGAAATTCTTGAAGGATCTCTGAAATGAATTGCGAGCTCGAGCTTTGAGTTTTTTGGGGCTTGAATCTCGTGCTCGACGTCTTCGCTGTTGAGTTGTTCTGGTCAGCCCCACATTTTTCTCACCCAACAAGCACGCAGTGAATCCATCTGTTTGTGATGGGAAACAATGGCTCAAACAACCATAGCTGGATGGGAATCAAAATGAGTGATAATGATCAATGGATTGGTTTAAGGGAAATTTTACAGGAAAGCCCCATATTTAATGGGAAAATCTATGGTTTCCTGTAAAATTTCCCTTAAACCAATCCAATCAAATGGGTGAGAATGCTCCGTTGCTACAAAATACAGTAACCTACCATTGACCAGTCGCTGAAAAAAGCCTTGATTTGAAAACGGCCCTTGGGCCTCTATCATTTTTTTAAAGCCACTTCAGATTTGGGTGACAGCTACAAGAAAATGACATAGATTTACCCTCTGGTAATTTAACATAGCTTTTGAAAATTGCCATCTATAGTGAGTTTTCCCATTAAAAATGGTGATTTTCCATAGCTACGTTAGTTTACCAGAGGGTATAGCTTCAATAGAGCCTCCACAAGTCATCCCACCTGGCCCTCACCACTGTGGCATCCCCACCTGCTTCGCGTCTTTCAATGCATCCTGCGAGGCGAAAGATGGGGTTACACCGGTTACACCTTGTGTCTCGGCAGCTTGGGCCGACTTTGTAGTGCCTATTTGAGGCCTATTTAAGCATTTGCACACGATGACAGCATGTGTGTTTCTTTTCATGCAAATTGAGTCAATCATTTGACCATACACTGGTAGTATGTTGATGCGTGCAAAACAAAAAACGATGTTCCAAAAGCCACTGTCGTCTTTTTATACTGGCTTGTTCAGAAAATCTTCAGAACAGATTTCCCATTTCATGGAATTTCATGGATGCATCCATCATCCTCAATAGATAAAGGATAACCGCATGAAATCATCAACCAACACGCGTTTATCAACTATATCATACTATATATCCGTATGGTTGATTCTTAAATCCCCATCACAATAGATATAAGATATATATGGTTGGTAAAATCATACTACATATCAACCATCATACTTCATATCCCCATCACAATATCATTAAATAAAAAACATATTTCCCATATTGCTCTTTGGTAAGACATCAGCTCCTCCGTTAAAAGATGGTAGACCTCACAAATCACAAATCAGCCATTTCTTTGATGGTACCCTCTGGTAAGCTAACATAGCCCTGGAAAATCACCATTCTTAGTTTTTCATCAACGAACTAAATGGCAAGTTGTTCAGAATAGTGTGAAAAATTACCGGCGAAAAAATCGAAATCTATGGATGATAAACATCATATAAACATCATAAATCCATCATAAATCCCAATGTTTACATCAGCCAGCCATTCCAATTTTCGTGGCAAAAACGCCACCTTTGGTGATGGTCAAATTTTTGTCTCAGCTCCTCCAGCTGTGGATTCTCCATCTCCAGTTGCGCCAGGGCGGCCTGGAGAAAAACAAGTTCCACTGTGCAAGATATGACGTGTTTGTTCTATCTGTATTTTGTATACATATATTCTATGTTATATATATATATGTATATATATATATTATGTACATGTATGTATACACATATATATATATATATACATACTACATACATACTACATATGTATATATAATATATACATACGTTGAATAGTGTACGATTGTGTAATCTTGTCCAGTGTTGGAAGGAGCCGCCCAGGTCGACGGAGCTCGTGAAACAGCCCCGTTGTGTCACTCTGTCGCACTGGGTCTACATGAGTTGTTTATTTAAGAACTTTATTCCATAGGTATGTAATACATATTCCATACATATTATTCCATACATATTATATATACATAATGAATTTTAATGAATATATATATATATGATTATATTTGAATATGTATGAATATGTCATAAATATCCAATAAAAACTTGGATTTCACTTAAGGAACCAAAGCAAAATAATGATCATCGATTCCCCGTTTCTAGTGGATTGTCCCATTGCGATTCATGGGAAAATCGTTGAGAAATTTCGTGGATGTTGCTATGTTTGATCACAAGGCGAGGCTAGTTTTACGGAACTGCCAACGTTTGAGCGCTTTAAAAAAAAAACGTTTGACCCAAATCATATCCACTGCTTTGGGAACATGCCTTCTTGCTATCTTCACTGCACGCAAACTGCTCCCGGAGACTTTTTGAGTCACTTAGTAATCTACGTCCAAACGGGATCGTCCAAAAAAGGAGCTTTACTGTCAACATCTATCAACCAACCAAATTGTCCAACAACATCAAAATATTTGTCCGAATTTGGGGGAGGGATTCATATCAACAAGTTACTGGTGCTTAGTAGGGAATGGATGGGTTGCTGGGGGTTGCTGGGATGATTTTTAATAGTTAGCCAGTGGATCATTCCCTCATTCTCTACGTTTAGCACCAGTAAGACAAAGTCGGACCATCAAATCCGATGGAAATTGCTGGGTAAACATCCCATATGAAACATATCAGCAATTAGCCTCTGGTAAAAACTGTCACAGTTTGCAACATAGAAAATGGCCCATTTAGAAAGGTCGTTAAATAGTCGATTTATCCAGCTATAAAATGGTGGATCTTTCCATCGTTTTGTGTATGTTTACCAGGCCTTTTGTCCACCTGCAAATCCGCGGAGTTCCCGACAACATCCCGACTGCAGGGCCTTCACCAATGCTGTAGCCTTCTGCTTGGGATCTGTCAACTTCTGCGGTGCGGCGGCGGCCGCCTGCGTTCTGCGTTGCCAAGGCAATTCTGGGAGAGGAAAGGATTGGGGAAAGATTTGGAACATGAAAAACATCTGGAAAGCCAATAAGTGTCCTCCAAATTTCGGATGATTTTTCATAGTGTCAAGTGTCGATCCTTAAATTTGGAATTGTCATCATTGTCATCCAAATTTTGGAAAGATCAAATTATATCTGGAAAAGATCTTAAATATCTGGAAAATCCAAATATGATTCTTATTGGCAAATCCAAATACCATCTGGTTATGACTAACAGTTCGCCGTGGAAAATCACCATTTTGATATAATAGGTAAACCATCTATTTCTATGGGCCATCTATACCATGGCTATGTTAAATAGCCAGAGGGTATCTGGAAAATTCCTAGCTCAGGGATGATCATCTCCTGACGGTTACTACCAAAGAATACAAAGAATAGGTTCCAACCACCTGAAAAAATATATGTCTTACATATACAGTGTATCTATCTATTTACTTGTTTATTTATCTATATCTCTATATATATACATATATCAAGGATAACCCCATATGTTTCACACTTAAAACCCCATCAAATCCCAACATGGTCCATGCTGCCCTCGGCCTTCAGGGCGGCTTCATCCTCTGGCTGCGCACTGCCCAAGTCCGCCAAGCTCAGAGGCGTGTACCTTGCGGGGGGTTCCTGGGGGTACCTGGGTTTCCCAATATATCTGGTCGATTTCATGGAAAATATCTGGTTTATGGAAAACAAAAAAGTTGTTCCGGGTAAATCTATGTTTTCCATTTTTTTCCAATGCACCTGATATATCTAATTGTGTGTTTACCAATGGGGAATGATTCCCCAAACAAACAGATCATATGGAGGTTTCTAAATGTGGAGTACCCAAAAAATGGATGGTTGATGATGAGAAACCCAATTGAAATGGATGATTTGGGGGCAGCTCTATTTTAGGAAACCTCCATGTGGATGTACAGAATTGAATATAGATGTATAGTAAGATCTAGATATGTATATTGTCATGTATTCACAATCATAGATACCACGATACCACCTTCACTCAGTCTGCACACATAAATTGATAAAGGTACTAACTAAATTTAACTATGTTTTATGGGTTAATGGAGAGTCCTGGTAATGTCAATATTAATACATTACGTATATTTAAGTGACCGCAATATAGCTTGGTTTTTGTACACGCAGCCAATTTCAGATGTAATATATAGACGAAGAAAACATACTGGCCCTACTTAACAAAGTCATAAGCCAACTGCAAAAAAATGGGATTGTCAATTTTATCAAAAAATGTGGAATTTATCAAACCTCCGAATTTCAATTTTGCCAAACACCAGTTCACCTTGGTCAAGGTTATGGCCTATCAGATTATCTTTCTGAATTGATCATGAGGCGGCTTCCATCCTGAATTTCCTTGTTTCATGCGTAATGTATAGGAAATCACCCATAAAAATGTGTATTCCAACCAGTAGTTTGCGTGCTTCTATCTATCTTTGTGCGTACTTTGAGATTCTTGGTATGTATGTATAATGTTATACTTTCACATATACAGTATATATACACTCACTGGTAAATATACAAACATGATTTTACAGTATATCATTACCACAGGACATATACAGGAACCGGAAATTTGTTCTTGTTGTAAATATACATATATATATATAATATTGTGTGATTTTAAGTAATGGGGGATAGTAAATAACAGATTTTTTTTAGTAGATACTATCCAGAATCCTATCCTATCTGTTATCCAAAAACTCTCCTGTCCATCCCATTACCCTCTGGTAATTTAACATAACTATGGAAAATCACCATGTTCAATGGGAAAATCCACTATAAATGGGCCATTTTCAATAGCTATTTTGACATAACCAGAGGGTAAATTCATGTTTCCTGGGGACGATAGAAAACACGCCACCCCTCCAGTGTTCCGGGGCCGGTATAACGACGGCACTTCTCGGTCCAAGCGAGTCCGATCTCCTTGGCCAGATCTAATGCCTCAGTGGCGGGGACATTTTTTCAATGGGAGATCTTCAGGATCCTAAAATGGAGGTACTGTACCTGGTTGGTGGTTTTAACCATATTGAAAAATATTAGTCAATGGGAAGGATGATCCCATATATTATGGAAAATAAAAAATGTTTGAAACCACCAACCAGGTACTATATGTCTGGGCATATCTTCTAGGGATATTCCCTGACATTTAGGCCTGAAAAATAGGCCTTAAAAAAATGGAATCGGTACCTCCAATCAATCGGTTCCTGTTGCATGGCCATTGACAATCCGCCCGAAAGAAATTCCCCAGGAAATGCTTGGTGGATGTGGTACCCTCTACAGGCTTTCCCTTTTTTTGGGGGATTGGAAAAAAAACAGTAAGGGTCATAAAATGGGTCATAAAAAAATGTTTTTTGTTGGTGGTTGGTCAAGAAGATGTTCCGCGAAAAGATTTTTTGCACATCATATGGCTAGCAGCGGACAATAGGATGGCGACAATTGCCCTTCAGCATCAGTAAATTACCACAGCGTCGGTTCGGATTCAAGGCCCTGATGAAAATGAATCCGTTGGGACATCCGTTAAACAGGGTTTTATTGATGAAAGCACAGTTCAAACCAATACCATAAAGATCCATAAAGTAACAAATGGCGTATTTACAAACAAAGATGGTGATATAATATATTAGGATACATACATAATCATAATTCATATGTATATATATATATGTGTGTATGTGCATACAGAACCAATGATCAATGAAAATAACAATATATAACAATGACATATAAGTAAAATGATCGTATAATATTTGGATTTACGATGAAGGATATAACCACTACAAAGGGTCTATATACCGGGAAAATATTATGATATTTGATGAATATGACCAACGAAAACAGTGATTTCACTAGGAAACATTGGGACATACCCTATCACATTAAAGATAGATATGGAAATCCATGAGCTTCGCTAAGACAGTGATGGTTCTTTACTTGGGCAATTCCATATCTATCCGATTTTACTGAAGAGCAATTAATTCATCAATCATGACCAACATTCATCTTCGTATCAATGTGCATGTCATTGTTAAGCAAATCCCATCAACATTGAATCCGGGCATGCCATGATGATCCCCCAGCGAACTTTGATGGCTTGATGGCCTCGATCCTGTTGCTATGAGTTTCTATCACCTGTCACAATTGTTCAAACGCTTACCGGTAGCTTGCCTAGTCAGGATGATGATCCTTAAAAAACCCATTGTCCCGATTGTGATGGTGATTCATCCAACTGGCAATCACTTCCCGCCGGCCATTGTGGCTAAGAAGTGATTATGGCTAACGCCAATTGATTCTTTATAATCACCTAGTGGAATTATTATGGAGCAACCGCTTTATTATGGTCAGAAACTGCCGAGGGCGGAAGATACTCACTCAATTATGGAGGATTTCTTCAATTTTTCCCCATCCACCAGGATAGTTGAGTTCGCAACTATGATGAATGAATACCCTATCACCCAACTTTATGGTATGAAAATGTATGAAATTACCAATTTGTACTAGAAATTATCTGGTTGGTGGTTGAACCCCTCTGAAAAATCTTGGTCAGTTTGTTCACCTTATTCCCAATATATGGAAAAATAATCCAAATGTTCCAAACCACCAACCAGTCATTGATGATATCCATTGATTTCCCATGTCTATCATTGATTCTGGGTAAATTATAAATATTTCACTAACCTGAATAGTTCGGCCATTTGGGGATGATTTCCCTCACTAACCATGATTTGCAGGGCTCGGTCGCAGTGAGGTCGTTATAATTTACCCAGATACATCTTATGTATATATATATCCTCATCCTCTGGTAATTTAACATAACTATGGAAAATCACCATGTTTAATGGGAAAATCCACTATTTCTATGGCCATTTTCATTGATTCCTGGAGGCTTCGGACCTCATTCGCGCCAAGCGTCTGTCTTCAGCGCCTTATCCCCAGAGGCTCGGCTGCTTACGGCTTTCGCCACCTGCCGGGGACTTTTCTTTGTCGTGAAGAACGGCCATGGAGAAGTCACCATTTGAAAATAACAGCAGTGGGACAACCATGGGAAAACCAGAGGAAAACCATAGGAAACCATATGTCAATGGATTGGTTTAAGGGAAATTCTACAGGAAAACCCCATATTTAATGGGAAAATCTATGGTTTCTTGTAGATTTTCCCTTGAACCAATCCATTGAGTGTAACATCAAATGAACAAATATATAACAAAAACGTCATTTAAAATGGTGGCATGACAAATGGACATGGTGAGAGAACAAATGATAATGGCGATGTAACTGTAAATCACTCAAATATCAGTTAAAAAATACGAATATAACATTACCATGTAAATAGTACTAGTGATTTGTTTATACTGGTACTAAGGTACAGTATTGTAAATCATTCCACAATGTTACAATGTTGGTCGAAGCAAGATGGATGGCTGCCAAAATAAACTTGAAATGAAGCAGAATCTTCGCCATCACGCCAGAGCTCCTACATATCTATGGCAATAGATGAAAACGGACAACGTATATATTGGGGAATTATGCGGTAATTGTCATTGTTCTCAAGCAATATGTGTATATATATAGAGAGAGAGAGGGAGGAATAATTGCCATTACCTTATGATAATCAAGTATAATATGTAAATATGTAATTTATATAATTGTATATATATATATACATATACTGCGGCCCATATTTATTTAAGTAATTGTCGAAGATATGCTGATTACCGTTCACCATCATCAACAATCCTTCACAATCATTCAGCATCATTTACAGTCAAACATTTACTACGTATCATACATACATGTACAGGGCCCTTGTGTGTAGGGTTTACACTCTATGACATGTTGTATAATTCACCCTTTGTATCTCTTGTTCAATGTACATAAATAGATAGACAGACAGACAGATAGATAGGGAAGTAGTACGGTAGATATTCCATCAATATCCCATACATATCAAATGTCAATATTCCATGAATATATCCCATCCTGACTAGGCCTTGGATATCTTGGATATCTTGGATATATATATATATATAGCCCATATGTATACGATCTTTTACTGGGAATTGGTCCAAAAAATAGCCATGGACTCGCTGGGCCTCGGCTGCTTTGGCCCATGCTGGGCTCACACCACTGGCGGTCGCAGGGCCGGAGAGCAGGGCAATGGCTTCGCTCCAGGTGGCGTTCAACGCTTTCAGGGCGTCTACGAACTCGGGACCTGTCATGCGAAAAGCTGGAGATTTGAAGATGTTTACTTTGTAGATTAAATTTTGTGGATTTGGCTATAGAAATATTATATATATATATACATACATAAATTATAACACATATATATATATATATATTGCAGTACTTTAAAGTGGAATTCGGATATATTACAGTTCTTTTAAGTGGATTTGTACGAATCCTTGGAACGGTTTTTTCATGATTTTGTGATGGGAAAGCTGGAGATGTTCACATACCAAGATGCTCAAGATCACATACCAATAGCCTGCTAAAGTTGATGAACATATGAAAAACATGGGGTGAAATATCCATTTCTATGGTCTTTCTGGAGTGTCTAGGCGTTACTGGTGTTACTTTTACGTGGCATTTTTTTTCGATGTTTGGGATGTTTCCAAGAATTGCTGTGGAAAGCATCGGAATTTTGAAATCGAACCTTGAATTTTGACCAAAAAAACATTGGAGGTAAAAGAAAAAACAAGGTGTCCCGTAAAAATCCCGCAAACCAAGCCATTGAATGGTTCAATCTTGTGATGAGATGGGAAAGTTGTAGAACGTGCTTGTGGTGTGGTAACTTCAAATAAGGATTCGGGGATGTTCCATTTCAAAATCCTTCAGTTAGCCTCTGGTAAACTAACGTAGCTATAGAAAATCACCAGTTTCATGGGTAAATCCTATAAATATGACATATTCATCCTTGTTAATATAGCTATAAATTGTCTATAGATGGCAATGTTCAATAGCTATGGTGAAATTTCCGGAGGGTAGCTGCAAGGGGGGGGCGTTCCATTGCCGGATCACCAGAGCGTGGACGGGGGCAACACTTATATAAGATATCTAGCTGATGCAAGTGCCTAAATCACATGGAAACAAGTCATGGGCGAATGTGGATATGACACGAGTTTGACTAACAGCCACGCAATATTAGAGGTCTGATCATTGTTTTTCACCCATCAAATCAATCTTTGGGAAGAAAACCATGGAATCTTGGACCGTAGGACCCTCGGACCCACGAAGGGTCGCATTTTCGGCAAATCCCAAAATCAACGCGTGAAAGATTCAGTTCATCATTAGTCAATGGAACATGTTCCATTTATAGATGATATATGATGATTTATTTAAAAAATCAATGTCCATTTCAGGAACCGATTTTATTGGAGGTACCGATTCCATTTTTTTAAGGCCTATTTTTCAGGCCTATGTAAGGGGATATCCCCAGAAAATATGGCCAGACATATGGTACAGTACCTCCATTTTAAAAAAACCTGAAATTCCCGTTGATTAGTCAATGAACTCCTGAACATCACAATGGACTTGTCTCCATTTCCTCTGGGGTATATGGGCTAGTTCTCATCCATTTTTCTTAGGATTTACCATGAAATAAAGCATCCAGCTATGGGGGTAGTCCCGGTTCCAACTATGGAAACCTCATGAAACCTCCATATATCAACGGTATATCCTAACCCCCACCATCTCCCCATCGCACCTGAGGCGCCTTTGAAGAGACTTGCCACGGCGCAAACCACTGCGCCGCCGGTCTCGGTCATCTTCACGCCGCTCTCTTTGCCCTGGCGAGGGCATGGGCTGGTCGTTGATTCAAAATGGATATTGGAATCCAGTGGGCTGATGTAGATACTATACTAGAATATTATATATAATTATATATATACACAATAAAGCAACTTATAGAATCTTATATGATCTTGCGATATTCTATGCTTATGCATAATTGGAATCGAGTTATGAGAAAAAATTATAAAAGTGAAAGAAAAACGCACGCTTCCTGTGTTTGTCTGAAAAATGGTATACCGGTAGACCCCAAATCCACTGGCTAAGCATCATTTTCTACTTCCTAACCGCTGGAAATGGAGGTATCTCGCATTTGAGACAAATAAATGTGCTGGGTCAGGATATCTTAACTAGTCATATCAATCCTAGATTCCATGCAACGAAACATTGCTTTGGTGCGCGTGAGTTTCACAAAAAGGATAATTTAGCATGATTTTGTCGCCAAAAATCAAGAATTTCCCAAGAAAGATAGCATGTTTCAAAAGAAATTACTGTATATAGATTGAATTTTGAAGGCGTTGATGGGAGAGTTGATGGGAGAAACAACCAACTTTCTGGGACGACGTGTCCCAAAAAAATCGAACTGCGATGCTCTGTTCAACTCATTTCTTCAGAAATGTGGTTTTTTTCCCAGACCAAGCTCCGAAAGCTGCTGAGGCTATTCACAATATCCATTGATATTGGTCCGCCGATGAATCACCTCTTGCATGACCTCCAACAGCCACAACCACAGGCTTCCCAACATATTTTTTCCAGCAACATTTCAGACAATTTGCCCGGCATTCACCGCACTTCTGTACTCAACAAATCTCAACAACCATTTCAAGTGATGTGAGCTTTTTTCCAGAGAAAATCTCCAGAAATTTCTAAAATGTCATCTTATCATATCTTATCTATCACGCCTTGGCTTGCAAAGCCGTGCCAATCTTTAAGGCCTCATCCGGCTTCTTGCCCGCCTCGGAGGCCATCGTGCCAACAGGATTTTTCAACGTTTGGAGCTTGCGTTTTTTAATGTGACCACTGTGGCTGTTTATTGAGCAATAGCCAATATTAGCCATATATTAGCCATATATTAGCCAATATTAGCCAATATCAATCCATATCAATCCATATCTCAAATTTCAGAAGTGAACTTCTCCATGTCAAAAAAGGACTGGAATCCCCAAGATCAAGGCACAAAATGTTCCATGGCTTGCGCCCATGCGGTTGCTGCTTCTCCCACCGGAGCCATGGCGGGCGCGTCTCAGTTGATGGCAAGAGGAAGACGGCCCTGGTTGAGCCGGCGGGCTGCGGACGACTGTGATGAAGCCCCACCGGTGGAAGACAATCAAAAAAAAGGGAACTGATGGGAACTTCTTATGATTTCTCATGCTCAAAAATATTCAATAGAACAAGTCATGGTGCAGCAGGGCACTAATCTTCCCAAGAAACCACAGCGAGGGCAGCAAAGCTTTCACCGTGGGCAAGAAGCGTTAGGAACTGTTCGGAAGTGCTGCGGGCAACGCATGGCCGCAGAAAATCCAAGAATGCGGCGTTAGCCTCATGCTCTTTCCGGGTACCATCTGGGTATTTAACATAGCCATGGAAAATCCCTACAAGAAATGGAGGTTTCTAGCTGGGAAAATCATCTATAAATGAGCCATCTATACCATGGCTATGTTAGTCATAACCAGAGGGTAACCTAATTTTAACTGGCCTGTCATTCCTATGTGACCATGATGCTGAAATCCCGGAATCGCTATCCATCAGGTTTTTTTCGAGGTGATTCTTGTTGTTTAGCTACGCAGCTACACACATTTGCAACATGTCCTGCCATCATGTACCCTCTGGTAAACTAACATAGCTATTGAAAATGACCATTTATATTGAGTTGTTCCCATTAAAAATGGTGATTTTCCATAGTTATGTTAGTTTACCAGACAAAAACTGGCACTTCTGTTCACACCAAAATCGCTTTTGTTGTTCTGGATGTTCATTCCCAAAAAAAAACAGAAGGTTGGTGAAGAACAGAATTCCCCGTCCATTGGTTGTGGTGGATGTTCCAGCCCCAGAGCATCCGTGTTGTCCCAAAACAGCAGCGCTGCATCATTCTGCGTCATTGCCATGGATAGCAAATACCAATGATAGATGTACCATATCCATTAAATGCTATCATAAAAATAGCATATAAATGGCATATATAGACACCAAATACCAATGATAGCCATTTAATTCTATGGATATATCTATAAATGCTGCTTCCAACCATATCCATAGATATACCTTCTATATCGTCTTTCTATAGTAAAAAAAACCTAGCGAAAATTAGTGGTACAATTTTAACCGGTTCCATCTCTTTGGGTATATGGTAAGAAAAATCCTGGCACACTTTAGTGGTAATAACTAGTGCTCAATGTTAGCCTGTTCCATCCTTCTGGAAGTTATATACTATAGAAATGGGCAATTATAGGCTTATATCCTGTTGTCCAATCTTCTTGGGGGTTACGAACAACTATCGAAAATACCGCGGGCTGCGCGGCAACCCTGCCCTCGCTACGCGGGGATTTTGGCACCTCCGGTGGAAGATGCTCCTGAGATGGTCAATTTGGGGATGATCATCTTGGAATTACCCTCCGGTAAACTAACAAAAAGCTATTGAAAATGGCCATTCATAGTGAGTTTTCCCATTGAAAATGGTGATTTTCCATAGTTATGTTAGTTTACCAGAGGGTAACATGTCACAGAATCAGGCGGAAGCACAAATTCAGACCATACCATTTAAGACCCCAAAATGCAGATTTTTTATGTTTAGTTCCAGGATATTCCGAAAAATATCCCACAATATGATGTTTTGCGTATCGGCAAATGCAGGAGTTACACTATTGAAAGTGAAGGTTCCTACAGCGTTTGAATTACCGAGAAAATTCTTCTGGCTGCTTAGCGCATCCCAAATATGATTGGGATCATCTAAGAGGGGACCTATGTGTTGAATGTTTGAAATAATTGAAACCCTACAATAAGCCATTCCCAATTCGGGTGTATCATGAGATATACCCGGTCCCCTGGACGTAGAATGACCATGGTCAATACTTGGGGATAGGTGCTCGCCCACTAAAAAGTACTATGAGTCAAAACCGTGGTACCCTTCTGCTTACACCAAACTAGCTGAGCTATTAAAAATACCCCTATCCCATCTCATTATACTGGTTGGTTGATAGGTTTCCCTATTATGGTGTTCCGTATATTAACCCATCAACCAGGCTATATTTAATGGCTCAGGTGGTACTTGGTTGAATCTTCCATCCCCACATGGGCTTGCGAAAAAGAAAAACGAAATCGCATGAATATCCCATGAATCCCCATCAAAAAACCAGACATGTGAAACCACTAGAAATACTCATATTCATCTTATTGGTTAATATCCCCAATATGTATATATTATATACATATGTATATATATATATACAATATACACACACATACAGTATCCATTATTGCTATTGAATCCCATTTGTCGTAGAGTTTTTGACATTGAAAAATCCAGCCAGTCGCCGTTGCGCCAAAACAACCAACGTCGTGAAATGCCACGCCAGGCTTCTGCGTAGAACAGCAACCCGATCACGGCGCCCAACTGGCGTTGGCAGCTGAAATTTCTGAAACATGGCCCATGTTTATCAGTGATATGTGAGACAAATACCCTCTGGTTGTTTAAAAAAACACACAGATAGGGTGAATCACCATAAATAATCATGTTTAAGTTTAATAGGTAAATAACCAGTGATAAATAATGATATATGTGAAAAGAATCGTGTTTAATAGGTAAATCATCATAAATAATCTATGAAACTATGGGCAATGTTCCATAGCTATGTTAAATAATCAGAGAGTACATGAATGTAAATGATAAATGCCCATTTATTGTACCGGTTGCATGGGAAAATGAGAGGAAGTCCTAAGTTGGATGATTCTTGTTCTACCTTCTACTTGTATAGATGGTTTCATATCGTATTCTGCGATAGGATATACTGAAATCTAGGTACCACGTGGCAAAGCACACCACTTTTTTCAGTGGGTCATTTCACCCCCTGAGCTCCAAGCCAAATTGAAGAGTTTTTCAGCTAGTGAGAATGTGACAAAAAAAAACAGCAGCCAATGTGCGGGTCTTGAAATTGATAGATTATTAGTGGTCTCAAAATGTTGAATTCCATAAGTCTTCTTATATCAATGGCCAGGCAACAGGAACCGATAAAAATTGGAGGTACCTACCATTCACTTTTTTAAGGCCTATGTTAGGATCCTGAAATTCCCATTGATTATCTTGTTGTCCCATTGAAATGGCAATTTTGTGGTACATGTTTTTGCAAATTTGGGGTGCCCAAAAAAACCCTTTTTTTAAATCGGCAAAGCCGGTGACCCCTGGGCGTCCAAACGATGTTGGTGCAAATCATTCCATAGCACCTCAGCAAAGATAAATCATCGGATGCGATGGGATGGGATGAATATCATCAATGGAAATTACCCTCTGGTTATGACTAACAAAAAGCTATTGAAAATGGCCCAGTCGAAATAGTGGATTTTCCCATGAATAGCATGGTGATGTTCAATAGCAAACTGTTAGTTTACCAGAGGGTAATCGCCACTTTCTGGTCAACTGTGTTGCAAAGAAAAATTGGATTCTGATCCTGGTTCCTAGAGTTCTGTGTTCGTTTCCTCAACTTTTGATCCAGAAAATATCTAAAACTTATGGAAAATAATCAGCTACAGTACCGCCCAGGTTTTTGCACACTCCGTCCCACCGAGGGATCTGGCTTTGAAAATGCTGTCAGCTTGGCGCTTAACTTGGTGTCCACTGAGACTCCCAGGCAAGGTTTGAAAGCTCCAATACCAAAAGATCTTCGCAATGAGAGGTCCAAGAATAGCGCCTCGCGGACGGACGTAGCATCCAAATAGCGTCGCCCACAAAAGGTGCATCCCAGCTACTACATGGTTGAGAACCATATTATAAGCCAGTTTTCCGTAATATCTCGGTTATATATATATCGTATATATATATATACATACATATCATATACATGTATACATATATATATATGTAAATATTCATATAAATTTTATATCATATATATATATATATGTCATAGCTTATAAATATAACATTTATAAACCACTTCTTAACTGGGATTCACATCCAAGTACTCACCTGCTTTGCGCTGGTACCCAGGCCTATGGTCACCACCAGGCGCTGCAGCACTAAGACCTGTCCGAGCCCGGAACGAAACCAGGGGAACTGGACCTAGTGGAATTTCACCAATTTCCTGAAACATTTCGTGATTGTTTTTTTTCGTGTATATAAAATCACTGTTGTGTATATATATATATACATATATATATGTATGTATGTATGTATGTATGTATGTAATTAATGTATGTATGTATGTATGTATGTATGTATGTATATGATATCATTATTACTGTACATATTATTACTATGTGACTATATAGTACATGAATGTGCATAGCCTGCATAGCTCTTGTGACAATTCTGACCAGACCCTTCGCCTCGCGTAATTCTTCTTCACTGGAGGTCTCTTCCTCAGAAGCAGCTTATCGATCGGTTGGAGGAGGTGCTTGCCACAAAGAGAGTATATTGCCCAGTAGTAAACCCCAACATTTCGGGATGGTTTCATTAGTTGGTGAAGCTTGGCAATCATTGCGCAATCATCATCACGACATTTGAAGCAACGAAAACTTGGCACATGATTGACCAAATAAGGATAAAACCAATCACAACTGGGTTGCTGACAACACATATGGGATTGATTTCAGCTCACACAGGACCCAACATCAATGGCCAGGTCAGGTACCGATTGATTGGAGGTACCGATTCCATTTTTCTAAGGCCTGTGCAAGGGCTAAGTTTATACGGTACAGTACCTTTATTTTAGGCTCCTGAAATGTGCACGTCGCACACCAACGATGGCTGTCAATTTGAACTGATACTTGCAGCTGACAACCTCCATGTATACATCTACAAATGTATGTGATTGCCTGGGAAATAATGTCTAATTGTTCACTACTATATAATTATCCAACATCATACTAGATTTCCTCTTATTTGAAACGCACTAATGATCAAACTATAGAGTAACCCCCGGACGTAGGTAGTGGGTTGTTGTAAACCTGATAATATTCAAAGTCAATATCATCTATGACATCCTGGAAATAAGTTCCTATCTGTTTGCGGGTCACTGTAGGTCTCAATTTTCCCAATTCCCAACTCTACTATACATATATATTACATATACACTTATACATATTACATAAATTTTGTATATCGTATCTATTTTCCTGCTTTTATGATATATACATATAATTACAAATACACATATACACATATATCATATACAGGTACTTGGAGATTTGGGTATCATATCCAGATCATATATCATATATATCATATATCATATATATCATATACACATATTCTACATATATACAGTATATACACATATATCTGAGTAAATTACAATATTTCAATATATTTCACTCACCTGAATAGTGCGGCCACCACTGGGGATGATTCCCCTGGGCTTTCCCGGCCATCAGATAGGCGGTGTACACCGGGCCGCCGCTGGACACGAAGCCACCCATGGCCTAACATTTTTTTTTTCGGCGGCCCGTTTTTCGCGAAAAAAGTGAGGGGAGGCTGTGATCATTCTTATCATGGTAATGAAAATTGTGGTGGTTGTGATCAGTTGGCTATATGGCTATATCATGTAAAAAATGTTTAGCAGTTCCTGGGTTATTGAAGTGATATCGTCATGATTTCCTGATCATCGTCAGAGTTAGGGTGCGCACATCCTGCCATCCTATTGCCAAAAGACCCAATTTGTTCTGAGACTTGGAGAGGAACGACCATTGGAAAGTCCTGGAAAGACCATTGATACCCTTCATTATGATAGTCTTGATACCATTGCCAGTAAAGACTGGCAGATATTGTCAGGGAGATCTGTCATCCCAGGAGCACCCTGAGCGCTGGATGTGGATGAGTCCTTGATTGATATATAACCCAAGAGCAACAAACTGCATCTGATAAATGGGGGTCCTTAATTTAGGTACTGTCAATATGTATCAACTAATCAACTGAGGTTTTTATTTGATCCTAGGTACAATACCCTGGGTCTACCATCTACAATGTCGTGCCCCCCAAGTTATAAGTTGGTTTATAACCCCATTAACTAGTTCGATATATACATAACATATAATATAATATAATATAATATAATATAATATAATATAATATAATATAACATAACATAATATAATATAATCTAATACAATATAATGTAATGTAATATAATAATATAATATAGTATAAATGTAATATAATATAGTATAATATAATATAATATAATGTAATATAATATAATAAAATATAATATCATATAATATAATAATAGTATAGTATAATAATATAATATACGACAATATAATACAATATAATATAATCTAATATAATATAATATAATATGATATAATATAATATGATATGATATAATATGATATAACATGATATAACATGATATGATATAATATAATACATTATATAGATATGATATACATATATCTGCCATATGTCCCAGTTGTATCTAGTTATTGGAGTTAGTAGACCCCAACTTCGCCATCGACCAGGGACACAGCGGGGCGGCGTTTTCAAAAAACACCTGGCCTATGAGTGCCTCAAGACAAAAGCTCCGGGGATGATATATGGAGGTTTCCTAAAATGATTACTGGTTGATATACTGGTTGATTCCTATAGAAATATGAATCCCATAGTAATGTATATAGTAATGTATATAGTAATAGTAATGTATAGAAATATTCAAAGTGATATAGTATTGTATAGTAATCCCATAGTTGATATCCTGGTTGATTCCTATACACACCATATCCATATGGAGGTTTCGTCATGGGGGTACCCCAATAGCTGCTTGGTTTACAATGGAAAATGCGAAAATCAAATGGATGATTTAGGGTTACCCCCATTTTAGGAAACCTCCATATCCATTCATAGGATGGTTTAATAACGGATGGCAACAATATCGGGGCTGACATGGGATCCCATTCCATATCCAAACGAGGAGATTATTTTGAGACACTGTGACATTGAAACCGATAATTTTTGGGCATTCATTTTTTTAGAAACACCCATATGATGAAACCGCATATGACCCACACCATAGAATGGGGCTGTCACTCATACAAGACTGGAAGATGATCGCAAGATGGGATGATCTTCCATATTCTTCAATTAGTTACACCTTCAATATTTATCTGGTTGGTGGTTTCAACCCCTCCGAAAAATATGAAAGTCAGTTGGGATTTATTATTCCAAAAAATGGAAAATTAAAAAATGTTCCAAACCACCAACCAGTTATGAACTATAAATAATGAAGTATATCATCGGTGCCAAGATCCCTCAAAAACCCATCGGATCCATGGCAACTAATGGCAACATCGGCACCCCCACCCGCACGAACAGAATCTGAGTCAAGTTGACGGCTTTCGCCTGGCCCACTGGGTGCCCGAGGATAGTCCGGGACCAACTCTACTTCATATGAAATCTAAATCTATTGAAATCTACTTCAGATGGAAAAAAAAAAAACTGGATTTGGGCTACTTCCATTTCTTGGCAGATGAATCTTCTACCAGAATCTTATCCATACTCCAAGGCTGGCCATACTCCAAGCCAAAATGGCTGAAGCCCCCTGAAAGGCGGTATATTGATGGTATTCGTGCATCCTATGGTATGCGATGAAGAATCGGTATGCGTTACCCCTGTAAGTAACCTAGACTCACTATGTGGAGTACGATGTTTGCACGGTATGCGTTAACTTCGTGGAGTGCGTTCCCGCTCGGGTATGTGGAGTACGGTATTTATATTTGCGTGGCATGCGTTAACTTTTCCAGTTTGGGCGACGAGGGGTTAGAAATCTGCGGACTTAAAGACCCATAGTCCATAGTTGAATCATAGATGCGAATGTCTCTGGCTACACCATTGAAATCTACCATGGAACCTGAAAATTGTACCATCATTTGGCGACCTCAAAGTCTGCAGGGAGGGCACCGTTCTTTCATGGATCACTTCGAGACTGGGAGACCGCCGGAGACCGCCGGAGACCGCTGGGACCGCGGGACCCCGCCTGCATAAAATTCACAAATGCGGAGCCCAAAGCCACCGCAATGAGGATCCTACACTGCAGTGCTTCGCGATGTTGGGGCAGGTTGGATCAATCAGTTTAAGACAAATGCCTCGTTTGTAAAATATATGTGGCAATCGTCATGAAATATCTCCAAGTTGTAGATTTTCTCATAGTGGTCTTCCATTGGATATCCAACCTCCAAGGGTTGGGCACTTTGGGATCATGTTCACCCCAAGAAAAAAGGGCTTTGAGCACATCCGCCATGCTGCTGGAATTCGCAATTTCAAGGAATTCCTCATGGACTTGAATTCTTCAGAATTACCACCATGTTTGCTAAGTGTACTTTCTTCCGTGGTTTGGTACTTATATCCGCCATGGTTCTTAGCCATCTAAATCTATGTCAACCGTTGCGTTCTCCCAGCACTCCCCATCAAACCTCTTGCGGCCCATGCGATCAGACATGGAGCCCACTACGGGAGCAAAGATCATCTGAGTGAGGTTGAAGACCTCAGGACACCGGTCAACTCCTTAGAAAATGGAGAGGGACCTGAAATCAGTAGCCCATCATTTGTCCTATCCAAATGGGAATTGTTGGGTAAGTCAAATGAATTGATGAATGGAAAGGTCTTATCTCAGTCGTGTTTCTTGAATTTGGAGACTCCAGTAGGAGAATTAAGGATGATAAGCCATTAGCATTGCTCGGATACCCGCCACTTTAAGTTCGGACTACAGATCTTTGGCAAATCCAGCTGATGCAAAAGCTGACAATGGGGGACCCTAAGCCGGTGATGATGTATGTATTCTCCCTCTCCTGCAGGTCGCATCCCCACATCTCCAGGGATCGTCTAGGGATGTTATCAACTACTGCAACCTTCTCCCCTTATTCAAGTCACAGGTTTCTCCAACTCATCCAGGGAATATTGGGAAGTATGAAAACTATGAGATTCATTGATATTCTGAATGACTGGAACAATATAGATCTACGGAAAAAAAAAAATAACATCAGGATAATTTTTCCCCGAAATCGGCACATGTCAGCACTGGGCTCCCCTCACCGTGCCCTGTAGGGCCTGGTGCGATGGTGATGGTTGTAATCTGCGTTATGGTAAAAACCGGGAAACAGAGGATGATGGCCTTGCAAAGTTTGAATTCATGATTTTTCACAGCACTGCTGATTTTTGTTGCTAGTTTTGAATCCAGCAACGGCTTTGCTGATTATCGGGGTGAAAACATCAACTGGAAAACATCGTCATCTTTCCCGTGTGGATCCATTGGTAAACATTGAGCCGTAGCCACATGTCTGTATATCCATCAATATGTGACATACCCTCTTGAAACCCGATATCAAAGACGGTGTGATCTGAAACCTTACCATTTCGGCGCGAAAAAAACATCTAGATATTGGATGATATTTCTTGAACGTTCCGTTGCCATTGGTATCCAGAGGATACAGTAGCTGGGCTCTAAAAGGATGCCATAGATAGGTGCCATCCTCATAAAGGATTCCCAGACCATAGATGCCATAGATTTTCCAGCGTCCCCCACCCATCATCTTGGTGAAAACATTGACATTTCAAAAATATGTCTTGAAGCTTTCCAAACGTCATGTCTGACTGATTGAATCTTGGGATACGTACAAGGAAAAACACGCAAAGCCATCACCATCGGAAGTTCAGGATCCTAAAATGGAGCTACGTTAGTAGCATATAAAACCATATACCCTCTGGTAAACTAACATAGCTATTGAAAATGGCCATTTATAGTGGATTTTCCCATTAAAAATTGTGATTTTCCATAGTTACGTTAGTTTACCAGAGGGTATTTCGGGGGCATATCCCTTTAGGCCTTTTTTCAAAAAAAGGTCCATGGTTTTCCGGATCGTTTCCGTCGCTGCCCAGCGGCGATATCAAAAGCATCGGCGCCCATCTGCATGACCTCGGAAAGTGCTTCATCGAAGTTCATCGATGGCTTGGTGGCTGAAACTACCCTCTGGTAAACTAACATAACTATGGAAAATCACCATTTTTAATGGGAAAATCCACTATAAATCATCATTAGTTACACCTTCAATATTTATCTGGTTGGTGGTTTCAACCCCACTGAAAAATATGAAAGCCAGTTGGGATTATGACATTCCCAATATATGGAAATATGGAAAAATGTTCCAAACCACCAACCAGCTCTGGTAAAATCAAGAGGCCATCTTGGCTGATTTGATTGGTTGGTTTTGTTCAACCCTCCTGAAAACTAGGATATAGCCTCTGGTAAACGTATAAAAATAACTATGGAAAAATCCACCATTTTGTAGCTGGCTAAATCAACGAACTTTCTATGGCCATGTTCCAGTTAGCAAACTGTTAGTTCACCAGAGGATTCCCCCAATCAACTGGTTGAGGTCACAGTTTTTTTGCTGGTCTCATGAGGTATACCCCCAACTTAACCAGATTTTTTTTTTCGGCCAGTATCATTCCAGAAATACCACTGTGTATATATATATATCACATTATATCACAAGAATCCATAACTTATTTTGTGTGTTGGTATGATTAACTAATGTTCACCAAATTATCCGAATGATAATGAACATAGGTTGAAGAAATCAGTAAAATAATAATAATTTGTTATCATGAAGTAATTATTCACCATATTTTTTTCACATTTCTGTGAGTACAAAACCAAAAAAAAACATCCACCGCCCAGCGGCGTAGAAGGGCAGTACCGGCATCAGGGCCATAGAGGTGGTGGCATTGACGGTCCTCACCAGGGAGATCTTGTGAGATTTTAATCATGTTTTTTAAGTGGCTGAATTCTATGGTTTATGGATGTTTATGGTAGATATGACTATAGTTGCGTAGATATAGCGAATTAGTTAATGTTTCTTAATAAACCAACAAACATAACTGGGGGGCACCATCCTGTAGGTGCCTTTCTGTTAAACATTCATCATTCAAAACTAGAGCATGTTGGGCTCTGTGCTCTCCGATCCGCAGCCAGAGTTTTCTATGACTCTGTCGGGTTCTTATTGTGAGTTTGGATGATTCTGGGTGGTTTTGTGGGAGTCCATGATGTTTTTTATGGGGATATCATGCGGATATCACGGGATCAAACCGTTACTACGACAAACAAAACGGGATGATCGGAAAATCGACCAGAAATCGTGGTGTGAACACAGTTTTACCATCGAATTCGATGGGCTTTCCAATGAAAGAAGTCGCAGTCCCTGTTGGTGTTTTTTTTAATATGAATAGTCCTGTTGGATGACTATCATATCTATCAGAATCTATCATCCGTATCTAAATGTCTGTTGGTATCCTTTTTTTCACATCCATTTTTTGATGTAAAGATGTCTAATCCCATCCCCCGTTCATTAATTAAACACCCCTGTAGAACGAAGAAAAATGGTAAAAAAGTAGGGAAATTCCAGACCATTAGTCGATGAGGTGCTTAATATTAGGGTGATGATTGATGGGAATATATCCTCAGTGGTGGGAATCATCTCTGGTGAATCTCTTCGAATCATGGGACAGATGGGACCGCTTAAAAAAGCGACAGGCTTGGTGTTTACCAAGGTTTTAATGGTGATATATTATGGATATATTATGGATATATTATGGATATATTATGGATATATTATGGATATATTATGGAATGTCTGCTGGAATGGTGAATGTCAAAATACCATAGAATACCTACCCTCTGGCATGGATGGGTGGAAAATCCCTGCACTAAATGGAGGGTTAAATGGGAAGATCATTGAACTACAGTAAATGGCAGATGTTCACTTGCCCGGAGGGTAAACATCACAAAGACATATCAAGAATTGTCATTCCAGTCTTCAGTTTTCACCTATACTGTGTGTGTGAAAATGGGGGATACCCCAAAATGCCAACTTTGATATGATATATGTAAATGGAAAACTGATGATATCAACATCAATCATCAGCCATCAGCCATTGTGCTTCCCAGACAAACATCCTGCCATCAACACTGGATTCCCCATCCCAGTACCACTATAGCCCGCAGCTGAGTTTCTCCACAAACAACATGGCGATGATCGATGTGCTGATCGTCATGATGGCTCAACCGGCTTGCGCGGCTCGCCGCTTCGCGTAACGCGGCGATGCGAAAACGGGAAAACGAAGGGAAGAACAGGAGCCCAGGGGATTCGGTTGGCGCTTCTGACTGAAATCGACATTAAACAAAGAATATCTTCAAACATTCAAAATCATTCAAATATGTTAAATATCTTAGGGAAGCTGATAGCTGTCAGTTGGATTTTTGGGATGGTCAAAGATGTGGCTCTCTTGGAATTTTCGGCCTTTCAAGGTTCGCGGTTCACGGAGGGGTTTCAGTTGTGCTTAGCTCAAAGGTCTTCGAGCCAAAGATCTCCAAAGCTGCCGGGCTGCCACCAGGGGAACCCCAGGGCCCCCCCAAAAAATTCATGGGATCCAAGTGAACTGGTGATTGGAAAGTGAGGGTCATACATGATAATCTCAATGGTATCATCAATGATATAATGATATGATAGATTATGATAGTCTGGTGATGAATAATCTCAATGGTTCATGATAATCTGGTGATGAATAATCTCAATGGTTCATTCAATGATATGTATCATCATTCTGTTCTATGACCCTAAGATACCCGAAAAAAAAAAAAAACTATGCAGTAAGTGATGCCCTGAAAGTGCCTCCAACTTGCAGTTTTCTTGTATTTATCAATATTTATACCCTCTGGTTATTTAACATAGCCATGGAAAATCACCATGTTCAATAGGTAAACCATCTATAAATGGGCCATTTTCCATGGCTATGTTAAATAACCAGAGGGTAACTTCTAACACCGCCCCAAGACAATGGATGTCACCAGATTTTTGCAGAGCTAAAAGCTCAGAGCCGAGCTTTAAACAGACTTGGAACTAACCTGAAGTGCCAAACTCATTACCTGCAATGATTTCGTAAAACAATAGATGAAACATCTGAGCCATTAAAAATACCCTCTGGTAAACGTTTACATAACTATGGAAAATCACCATTTTTAATGGGTAAATCCACTGTAAATGGCCATTCTCAATAGCTATGTAACAAATTACCAGAGGGTACCCCTATTCCATCTCATGAAATACGTTTGTTGGTTGAAAACGGTTTCCCGATCCTTTGGGGCCCATCATAATCCCCAGTAAACCATGTAGGATTAAATCCCCTATAGCAATCAATTCACCAGAGTACCCCCTGGTAATTTGTTACATAGCTATTGAAAATGGCCATAGAAATAGTGAGTTTTCCCATTAAAAATGGTGATTTTCCATAGTTATGTGGCTGTTTACCAAAGGGTATTTTGTTCATGGCTCATCTATGTCCAAACGGCGATCGTTAATCCTCCGGAGAAGAGACCAAAGAGACCACGTGACAACTGAAGTTGTCATCAAAACATTCGGATGGGTAGCGAAAAAAATCGACAGAAAACCCATGGTGAATTTACCATCAAAT